TTCCATTGCGCGTAGGAATGAAGCGACGAGGCTGTTGCGCTCGATGTCTTGAACGCGCCGGTGCTCCATGAAGATGTCGGCTTCGTCGATGAGAAGGATGGCGTTCCATGCTTTTGCGTACTTGAAGAACACCAGCAGATTTTCTTCAATTTTAAGCGGGTCTGTTCCAATATCGGCACATGTGACGGTTAGAAGAGGACGCTCGGCATTGGCAGCAATGCATTCTAGGGAAGGAGTTAGTCTTTGAGCGAAGTGGTATGTTTGCAGCGTCTTGTTATACCGGCTGTGTAAGTCTTCCCAACACCTGGCTTTCCATGCAAAAGAAAAATTAACCCCTCGCCTTTACCTTTGACGAAATCGGGTGACCACTGCTTTGTTAATGCTGGTGTTTTTGAATTTGTGACCTTTCGGCCAAATTCCGCTTCACGTTCTGCTTCTGCTTGTAGCCCGAGGAGATATTTGCGAGTCAGACCTTGGATAAGCTGTTTGATACGCGGTTCCTTCATCACCAGTGTGTCTATCATCGACTTGTCATATTTTACTGGACGGAATCCTGCGACATCCAGGTGACCTGTGAACTGGTTAGCCATATCTGCAAGATATATGGAAACTGCTGCACATACACCACTGACGTTGTTTCAGCACATATGCAGGTGAACTATCATCGCAAAGGAAATACTGGTGATCTGTCATGCCCAATGAACTAACGAAATTGATGTTGGAATAGCCACTGAACCTATACGGCTTGCGTTGCGAGCTTATAGTTTCACGGCAATTGTCGCAGCAGTGTCGGTCAAACACCTGCCCGTAATCGGTTTCTGGGTCGTCTTTAATCGCGGGCTGGCTATCAAGTTGCTCGTTATAGCGGTCATCATCCGCAATGACCAGTCCTTCTATCTAGACCGTGTCAAAATAATTGAAAAGCTTGATTTGGAAAAGCTTACTGGATTCTGGGGAAACGAAGTGGTATATCCACGGAAGTTCCAACAACCCGGCCGCCTTAGCTGGAAGTATATCTTGCCCCTCTCTTCGAAGTATTGCTTGGCATCTTCCTTTTCTCCCCATTTCTTGCTCTGAGTACAGTATTCAAAAGGGTAGATCGCCAAAGAATTGATCTTGACTTCGCCTGCGAATGGTTGGATTGAATCGCTTTTCACGGACGGACCGATGGAAAGCACATTGTATGCCATATTCCAAAGTTCGAAGGAAATAGCGCGGACCGTTTCGTTTACAACAACACAGTCATGTGATCTTATCACGTGTGGTTGATACTCCCCGATGTTATCTCCATCATACAACACATCGATTCCAGGAGGGAAAAGGAGCCATAGCATGTCAAAAGTAGCCATACCTCTTGCATGGCGCTCGCGTTCGTCTCTTACTGCTGCCCCGACCGCCGCTTTTACGAAATTTCTGACGATGCTAATGTGCCTATAGGCATACGTGCCTGGGCAAGCGCCCCCGATACAATCTGATGTTGCGAATCTTTCCTGGTATTTGGCGAGAGCGTCTTCATGATGAACCAGTAGTGAGTATGGCCAGTCTATTCTGACTTTTCTCGCTCCAAGATCGTAACCGGGGGCATAATCGACCACGCATCGTAGGGCTTCCAACACTGCTGGCGACGTAATTTCGATGTAGGAACCACGATGTGACTCGAAAGGGGGAAGCTTGAAATTCTTCTCATCTTTCGTCTTATCATGACGGTTTTCCGTTTCTTCTGCGGTACCTTTCGGGTCTGACTGCGTTTGTTCGTAGAAATCGGACGCACCAATTTCAAGCCATGTACGTCGAACATCGACAACTTTCCTATAGATGCAGGTCATACATATGGCAAACAACAATTTTAGATATTTTTTTACATTACTGATGACTGAGGCAACGTAGACTGCTCATATTCGTGTGCTCGTCTTTTTAATGTTTGACTGTGCAGATGCGTTCCAAACGCACTTTCGTAACGAATTTCGTAGGTGACCTCCTCAGGCTCTTCCTCCTCATTATCTCTAGCGATACCATCGATTGCGCAGACCTCAGTCTCTTTTTGTTCGCTAACAACTTCCTCTTTAGAGCTGTCGACGTTGGCGCTATCTGTAGGCGGCATCCCAACCCCTGAATCTCGAAATAAAGTGCGGGGTTCGCTCGAGCCTGGGATGGCGTTCATTTTCTAGAGGCCTTCTTGCAAGGAAAGGGGCTTTTTGAATAGGGATCGTTGCCAAAAAACAAATAGCATACGGAGGACTTCCTCGATGCATATGAGCAATCACAAGAACACGATGCTAACGTTCTATAGCCTTGCAGATTTAGCCCCCATCAGATGGCCCCCACATCTCGAAAATGGCTCGGCCTGACCGAACTGTTCGATAAAGCCATGCGTGTAATGAGATAGGTGAGAATTGATCGCCCGGAAGCGGGGTACAAGCGGGTAAAGATGATGAGCAGCATACGGCGCCAGGCTGGGCGTTACCCTATCCAATAGTGACTCGCCACGTCCAGGTTTTCCGGTCAAGAAGTTCGTATGCACATGCCAAATATACTTTTTGATGGGTGATGTCCGAGGCATTCTTTTGAAGCATATTTCGGTAGCGATGAGGCTGATTACAGAACTGTTTGGAACGTATAAGGCTGTAAGACCGATGCGATTTGGAGGCTAGATCGGAGGAAGGCAAAGCGCCAGCATGGCAGAATTCAAAGCATCCGAGGAAGAGAAGTTCGTGCCACGCGAGATTGTGCGAGTTTTTTCTATGCGCATCAAAGCAGAATATGAGGATCGCGACGATAGTGGAACAGAGCTAGAACGAGCCCTTGTGGAGAAGGCTGAAGACGATGAGAGCCAGCAGAAGAAACGCATTCGGCAAATCAATGAATATCTCAATTCTACTAGGTGAGAACTTTTCGTAATCATAGAGACTTGTCATGACTGCTAATCATATATCTCATAAAGACCCCAGGAACTGGCGAAATTGAATCAGCTTAGAGTTTCGCTTGAGCGTTCCATGCGTGAATTCTGTGCCCAGGTCCAAAAGTCACAGCCCCAGGATGTCTTGCCCGAGAAAATCAACTCCTGGGAGGACGTTACGTCGATAGTCGAAAATATAATGAATCGCTTACAACAAAAGAAAGAGAAGGACAAATTTCGGCGGGCCACTAAACACTTCCGTACATTCTGCAACACCATCAGGTCGCACTCCACAGCTTTGAAGATGTTACCAACAAACAATGATTATGTCAAACTCTTTTACGGAGCTCTTGCTACAGTGATTCAGGTTCGTTGTTCGTAAACAAAGGAATCGGCGCTTTGAACGCCTATTAACAATTCCGCAGGCTTCTGAAAGCTACACCAAAGTGATGGAGGCGTTACCTCGGGCACTGGTTGAGATCAATGACGCAGTCGCTGCAATAGAGAAACGCTCATGGCTTTTCGAAAACGACACGATGAAAAGTTACATGTGGCGCGTTTACAGCCAGATCTTTGCGTTTCTTGGAGAAGTCATCCGATGGTACACCAAGCGTTCTGCTCAACGTCTTCTCGGTAGTTTCAATGAAAGCCTCCTCGACTTTTTCGACGATCAAGTTGAAGAGATCAAAAAACTAGCAAAGCTAGTCCACGACGAGGCTGAATTTCGGGCTCAAGCAGATGCCCAGATCAGTAGACTTTATCATGAAGAGATGGAAGGCAAGCTCGATAGATTCATGGGCAAGCTTCTTGAAAGGGATTCCGCTCAACATGATATTGTTGGTCGACGATTCGAACGCTTCTACGAGGAAATGGAGCAAAAGCGACGGGACGAACTATCCAAAAAGGAGACTCTCGAAAACATACTTGTGGGTATTTTGAACAAGATCAAGAAACAAGAAACAGGGGCTGCGATGTCTGAGATCCTTGAGGGAGATGCTCGAAAACGACTAGCTTGGCCAGAGGACGCGGAATATATCCAGAGAGTTCAGGATAACAACACATCCAGGCCAGGCCATGTATTTGAATCGCACGCACTAGTAGAGCAAGGTCTTGAGGATTCTTATGCTTCAGAAATCACACGAGACGCCCTACTTCTAAGTTCGTCTGGACTGGAAGACTACTTCGACCGCGCCAAGCTTGTGATACCGGGGACTTTCGAAAACAATACCGCTGTTGCAGACCCAGAAGTAGCAGATCGAATAAGATTATGGATGATGACAAATGATTCCCAGATTCTGTACACCTCTAGTTCAGACCCTTTTGGAGAAAGCCCTCAGGCCTCGGGTACGGCGGGCCAATATGCGAGTGTGATCCGAGAAGCGGGTTTGCCTGTGTGCTCGTATTCCTGCTCACTCGAGGCCAAAGACCCTCCTAAAGGCCGTACACGCGAGACAATGGAGCTGGGCGCTTTAGTGTATAGTATAATACGTCAGTTGATCGAAATTCTTCCGCCAATTATTGAGTCAAACACCACATTGATCCAAAATTTCCGTTGGGATAACTTGGACGGAACTTTGAGAACGTTTCCACGAGCATTAGAGGTTCTGGAATGGCTTTTGTGTAACACTGGACATGCCGTCATCTTCATCATCATTGACGCTATCGACTTGCTGGATGATCCAACCCGCAGGAGTACAGACAAATGGCTTGCATGCTTAGTGCAGCTATTCAGAAAGCTTCTTACCATTTCACAAAGTACTACTTTCAAAATATGGTTCAATTCTGGTGGAATGTCACCTATATTGTTCAATTCGTTGGAAAGGCATCAAATTGCGATTTCAACCTCCTCAACAAGGTCCGGTAAGCGGGCGTTTGGTAGTGAAGTTATAATGATGTAGCATCGAGGTAAACCCTTTTGAATCATCTTAGGGGCTCTACAGCATTTCATCATTTCATGTTAAATTATCGTAATGATCTACATTTCAGACTCTATAGCTATCTGAGATTCTCCATTCCTGCTTAATTATAACTTGACGAGACTCACGACTAGCTATCGAAGAGCTCTCACCACGGCAGTACCGTAACCCGCCTCTCGACTTTGACACTAGAGTGTCTGCTTTGGAGTTTTCTCTAGAATTGCCTTGTATCGATATGCTGTGGGATTATAACATGGTTTCATTAGGCAAAGCATTCGAGCTTGACCTTGACTTCATGAAGGGTCTCAGCGCGATGCTTGTTCGCGCCCCACTAATTTCACCTGTTACTGGATCTCGAGCATATTCTAGAGATAAGCCAGTAGTTTTGAATCCTTGGGAAAACCCCTTGAGTGTGGGTGTTGTGGTAGATATGAGGCTGTAACATAGAAGAGTGCTTTGCCAAACGACGGTCGGGACGATTGGGATAGCAGTCTGGCGCTCATTGACAAATTTTGAATATGCAATCATGTGGATGAGAGAGAAAACGACATTTCTAGAAAGATAGTGTTGGTGCTTTCTCGACAATACCATGTGTGGACAAGAATGCGACTTACAGTATTCGAGTGCAAAAGGCCACCATGACCATAGCCTTATCCTCAACATGCATTTTATTACGATATAAACCCAAAATTGGTATTAGAGCAGTGAAGAATTCGGTGATAATGTCAATGATAGTAAGCGCTTGGATCCGAGGGATCCGATGCGTCAGCAGATACTCGAGCAAGTGGTTGTAAAGACCTACAGAATCCACACAGTGATTAATTCCAGACTTCGGTATAACTCTCTCAACTGCACACCCAAGCGGAACTGAAATCACTCCAACTATGGCCCATACCGCGAGAAACGCGATGGTAGCATTTGCCATGTATGTGACTTTGGGTATGCGCCCAAAGATATCTGAGATAAGGACAAGAATAGAGCTCTTCGAGAAAGCAAGTGCGATATAAAGTAGGATTCGGGTAGCAAAGAAAGTCTGATGACAATTTCAGCACGTGTTCTCGCCGTTTTTCTTGTTACTAACCTGCTGTACTCGTGATGTCTACATCATCAAGGATATCGTATGATTTTCCAAGACCATGTCCAATAGACGTCAGTAGCGTTACCCACATTCCAGCCCCCACAACCTGAATAGTAATTAGTAGAGTTTGGCTCAAAAGAAAAAGTAGAGGAGCTCAAATTCATACATGTGCCAAGACAACGACAAGATCATCAAAGCCGTATGCTCTCCATTTGGCGTATCCTAGACGTATCCCGAGGACTAAGGTAGCATATATGGGCGATAGAATAGTAATTATCCAAAGCGTAGCGCTATGGTCGTGGGGTGTGATGCGGGCGAAACGGTAATCTGATGGAGACGCAGTTGAGAAAGCCATTTGTTACATTCAGCAAAGCGGATACGAAGGAGAAAATGTAATGAATAGCCAAAAAAATCCTTCATTTTTCTCTTGGTCACCTGGGCTCCATGAAATGGCTGGCAAAGCAGGAAGAAACGTACGAAACCAATCTATGGGCCGTTGTTATCGGTCCATTGCACTATCATTTACAGATTGCACCAAATGTGTTTTAAAGTCCAGAAATCCATGTCCAGTTTTGGCCATGCTGATGAAAAAATCTCTCCTTGCAGATTGTCCTGCCATGCAATCCAAACTGTAAATGACATGATTACAGCCGAAGTACCGAACCGACAGCTTCATCTCTAGTATCTTTGTGTCCTTGTTCAGCAGTTGCCTCACAGCTTCACAGTCACACAGAAAGAGGAATCTTATGTGATACTACACAGTGACCAAGATTTCATAGGTTCATAAGAATGAAACATCCTCATACGTGGATGTTGTTCAGAATGCGGAGTTTGCAAGTCCGAGTGAATGCATTTGGCTACATGGCGGGGGGTGCAGGTACCAATGCACTGGTAACGTCATACCGAAAGGGATTTTAAGTCAACAATAGTTTTATTTCTGGGGCATTTGTCATCCCGCGCGAATCCGAGGGGAAGACGTGATTTTGGTGGTTAGAAATATTCAACTCACAAAACGATATGAACGGGCCGCAACTTCGCTTGACTTTAACCTTCGTTACACTAATTTCTGACCTCAACAGCGATCGCAACTGGCTACTTGTCCGCTCTACCTACTTCGGTTTTATGTTATTGGTATGCTTTCTCAATTGAAAATTGATGCTGGTTCTGGACTCTCCGCTGACTGTGTGCGAGTAGAGTTTCTTGGCAGTTTCCAAAGTTTGCCCCCCACTCTTGGTATGTTCGCTGGGTGGCTATCATGGTACGATTGTTCGTTTTTGGAACAGTTCTATAGTGGCTTCTTATGATCTGTCTTATAGTGATCATATATGAAATTTCTTGAATGGTACATTTCCTGGTGCACTATCAAAGACCCCGATAAAGTTACATGGAGCCCCACATCCTTGCAACACCACAAACTTAATCTTGCCGACTGACAGGCGTTTCGCGGTACTGATCTGGCACCCCTGGAATAATTCATCAAGATGAATTACTACCCACGTGTCAGAGGCACCCCTCAGAGAAATATCATCAAAGGTCCTTGTATCACAAGCCTTCAATATTTTTGGGCCATTGTCCACATGTTTCATCTCTCTGCCTGAACCTCCTGTCTTGGCAAAAGATCAAGCAAACATGAAAGGTCTTACAGATACGGTCGTTTCCGACGAAAGTATCCAACTAGCAAATACGCCCACTGTAAACAAAAAACATGGCACGCAAAGAGACGAACGAGATATGGAACGCATGGGCAAACGCCAACAGCTCAGGGTACGTTCACGAACTCTGCGACAGAGCTGCAAAAAACCAACATGGTCTCAGCGACAATTCAAGTTTTTGACAATCTATGGATTTGGCGTCGTCCTCGGTTGCACATGGGAATACGCACTGATGTACGTCCCCAACTCAACTGATCCAGAAGCAAACTGGCATATCTTCAAAGCGGAAGCGGCATCTCCCTCTACAACGGAGGACCTGCTGCCGGTATATGGATGCTCCTCGTTGTCTGTTTCGGCATGCTATGCATCACCCTTTCCTTCGCAGAAATGGTCTCCATGTACACCAACATACCCACCCACCTCCAAAAAAACAGCCCACTAACTCCCCAAGGGCCCCGACGGCTGGTGGTCAGTATCACTGGGTATCCGAACTTGCACCATCCAAACAGCAAAAATTCATAAGTTACGTAGTCGGTACGCCACGACCTCACGCCTTCTCTACCCACCCTTCTTCACACCCCACTAACTAGCCGCTTTACCCAAAGGCTGGCTCACAGTAATTGCCTGGCAATTCTACGTCTCAGGCACTGCCTACGCTGTAGCCCAGCAAATCCAAAGCCTCATCGCCTTAAACCTTCCCTCATATACGATAAAAGGCTGGCACGGCACGGCACCCTCCTCTCCATATACATAACCCTCTCTTCCATCTTCTGGAACACGCTCCTCGTCAACAAACTACCCTTAATGGAAGGCATAGCCCTAACACTGCACATACTATCTTTCTTTGCCTTCATCGTAGTCTTCTGGGTCATGGATGCGGCGGACGTGATGCCGAGGGCTATAGTGGCTACGCCATTTGCGAATTATGTGCTTACGTTTGTGATGGCTGTGACGGTTTTTTTGAACTTGGGAACGGAGAGGGGAGGCGTGAGGGAGACGGGGTTGGGACAGCCGTGGATACAGATTCTGGCTAACGCGACCGAGTCGAAGGTTGCGGCGAATGTGTTGACGGTGGTGGTTTTGCTGATGTTGCTGTTTTCCTGTATTAATCAGTTGACAGCTGCGTCGAGACAGTTGTGGTCTTTTGCAAGGGACGAGGGATTACCGTTTTCGGGGTGGCTTTCTTATGTATGGCTGGCTCTTTCTCATCGATACCTACGGTAGTATTCGAGATTATTTGCTAACACGCTTTGTAGGTACCTAGAGGCCGGGATATCCCCATCAACTCAGTAGTTTTCACCTTTGTGTTTACAGCACTTGTATGTCTTATCATCATCGTTTCGCCCTTCACTTTCAACATCACAATTGCCTTGGGAGCTTTTAGTGGCACTATCGGCGATATCACAGTAATTAGCTTCATGCTGAGAAGAAGGTTGCTTAAAGAGCCTCTCCTTCCTTCTCGCTTCAATCTCGGTAGAGCAGGCATCTTAATGAATTTTGGCGCCATTTCGTATAATTCGCTTGCAGTTGTCTTCCTCGCCTTCCTCGCCTTCCTGGAAGCACCCCAGCCCTCGTTGGTAAACATGAATTGGTCATGTCTAATGTTTGGCACTCTTTTCGGCGTTGCGATGGTGTGCTATTTCCTCTTTGGAAGGCGTAGCTACAAAGGCCCGGTAGAGTATGTTAAAAAGTCAGTGTAGTATGGGAGCTCTAGCGTATTGAACGATATGAATTATGTCTCAGTGCGAGGGTTGTGTCTGATACTATCACTGCATATACTAAAAAGCGCAGCCAAGTATGGATTTGCATTGGTTAAGTATGGAGCATCCAGTATTCTTACTTACACCGCGCTCCAAGTTAACAAGATATGTTCATCAGCCCAGCTATTGTTCCGGATACGTCGCACCCCAAGGCTGATAACCATCTTCCTGGAAAATCTTCTCAAGCTGACGTCTCCTGACCCCGACATTCCCACCATCAAACAACGGAAGACACGCAGCATCCTGCAAAATCTTCGAAAACGGCATATCTTCTGCATAAGATTTCCTGTACACATATCCCATTAGTTTCTCGATCACAAGTTGTCAACTTGGACAAAGAAAAGGAATCAACTTACATGCCCACAACGCTCATACACCCTAGCACCACCTGAGTGACCTGCTCACTACACCAGATCTTCGCTTCAAGAGCAACCTCCAATCTCGCCTGCCAACCCACTTTCTCCTCTTTACTTTCCAGCACACACATGGCCTTCCAAACCAATGCACGCGCAGCCTCAATCTTCATCTTGGCATCAATCAACCTATCGCTCACACTTTGATGTTCCAGCACAGGAATCTTCCCGCCTCGGTTTTCTTTTTTGCAAAAGGCGAGCGCAGCTTCGAACGCGTGACGCATGACGCCAACGCACATTGCGCCGACAATAGCTGCAGACATGCCAAAAGTCTGTTCGACTACTTGGGCGCCCTCTCCCGGTTTGGCGAGGACATTGGCGGCAGGGACTCGGAAGTTGGTGAAGCGGGAGTGGGGACCATTGACAGACTTGTGACCCCCGAGCGAGGGGTCTGCGAGGACTTGGTAGGCGGAAGGGTCGTTAGAGGCAATATCAGAGCGAGTGACTAGGAGGATGAGGATGTTCGAGATTGGGTCTGAAGCGGGGTCTTGGGGGATATCGGGTTTTCCTTGTCGACAAACGATGCATTGGAGGTCGGCTCCGCGCTGGTCCCAGCCGCCAGAGTTTGTAGTCCATAGCTGTATAGCTGTTAGTATGAAATATATATTACATAGTTGTTGTGATTGGATCAAACAATTCAAGTAGTTCGTTCAAGACACACCTTTTCTCCATTGATTATCCACTCTTCTCCCTCTAGATACGCTGTAGTTTGCAAGCCTGGTGCTCCTTTCTCCAGCCAATTAGCGGTTCCCTGAGGCTCACTATGTACAAAGCTTGCGAGTCTCTCTCCCGTCTGTTCTAAGAATGGCGTAAGGAATTTATCATGTTGCTCCTTGTTTCCGGCTAGAATCAAAGGCGTGAGACCCAGTCCAGTACCCAAGATGGTGATTGCAGTACTTGGCTCTACGGCATGGAGCTCTTCTATCACAATGGCTGCGTCGACGAGTCCAGCAGAAGTGCCCCCTAGGGGCACGGGAATTTGGCCTTTGATAAGACCTGCAGATACGGCTGTCTGATATATGGGAAGGGTGGATTGAAAGCGCTCTGTCTGTGTGGCGAGGTGGGAGTAATGGGTCGGAGCCTTGGATAGAACAGTGTTAGCAAAGGCGTGGACATTGGCCCGGAGCTCCTTTTGTTCAGGCGTAAGGGTGAAGTCTATCATGATGGTTGTATTCTGTGTCTAGAAGTCTTTTTTCAGACAGCTTTCCTTGGAACATTCATCTTCAAGGCCTATTTATATAAAATGGATCATGAGGCGTCCCACGTGCCAAATTATTAGGCTAATGCGGTCAGCTACATCGCTTGTCCAATGATTACAGAGGATTTTCTTCTTGGCCGGATCTTTGTCCTAATTTGATCTGAGGTCAGAAATGAGAATGGAAAACGCGGATGCTTGCGAAAGAAACGGGGTATCTTATTGTAACTTTTGGGTCTAAGCCCTTATTGCAACTCTGGCAGATCATCATCGCAGACCAGAAATGTCTCTCGACATTGAATGAACACGGGCTTCAAGCTCCTTCTTCTTCTTCTCTAGTTGGCGTGCTTCCTCTTCTTCTCGTCGCAGGTCTTCTTCAGTCAAAGGCGCAACTGGCTCAGGCTCATATTGGGTCTCGTCAGCCTCATCTATATAATCCTCTCGTGATCGATTCAGCTGTTCGAGCTGGACTTGCTGTTCTGCTAGTCGCTCTTCGTAGTATTGTACTGATGCTGCGACTTGAGCATATCGTTGGCGCAAGGTTGCAATCTTGTCGTGCACGCCTGGTATTGGGCTGAGTCTTGTTAGCAAGGCTGAAGGTCCTGCTGCTTGCATACACATACTAGACACCAAGAAGCTTCTCGGCTCCTTCCAACAGCGACTCGACGTCTATTTCGTTCTTGTTGTTGGGGTTGTACATTCTGTAACCCAAGCCTGAGCCCGCACCTCCTCCACCACCTCTCCGTATTCTCTCTACCAGCTCATTACCCAAGACTGCAGCAACAGCTGTGTTACGTCTAGGCGCTCTTACTGCATTGGCGCCGCCTCCGGATATGCTAGTACCACCCCCTCCATTGGGGTTGAAGATAGTGTTGCGCCTGTTAGTCGACGGAGCGGGTTCCGCATGTTTGGGGGCTGCTGGCGGCGGAGGGACAGAGAAAAGGGCTCGCTCATGCAGCTCGGTGTCGCGAATCAGGCTGGTGATATCATGGTTTTGCAGCAACGCATTGGTGAATATCTTTGGTGGGGCGAATCTGGGACAGGTTCAGTCCAAGGGTGCAGCCCAAGGGCAAGGAACATACGGTAGTTCAGCAATAGAGGCCGAGCAAAGCGATATTTGCTCCAGATACGCGTCCAGAAGCGTCATTGTGTGCAACTCCTGAACACGAGGAGGGTATGCTAGGGTGAGGCGGGGGTAAACAATGGCGGGCGCTCGGTGCTCGATAACTATTCCCCGATGTTCCGCGCTGGCGTCAGTGAAGCTGGGAGCTCCACCCTCAGCTAAGCATCAACACCACCAACCCTCGCCCACCACTGTCAACCTCCATTGCCCCCGATCTTCGCTCCGCACCTTCCTCTCCATCCGCAGAAACCACAAGAGCGACCGTCATGGCGGACAGCATGGAAGGCGTCGTTACGGCGGGCGAAGCGCCCAAAACCGAGAACGTGGAGCAGAAGGCCATTGCTGGTGAGTCCCCCAATTTGCGCCCTACAACATGCCTTTTACCTCAAAATGCCCCTGTGCCGACTGCATGACGGCATGGTCGGTCCGCAAGATGTGTTCCAACCACATGATTGCCACCGAGAGTGCGGCCTGCAAGTACCTGGCCCAGAGTGCTGATCCGACGACTGTAGATATCCGCAGCAACTTTGTCCTTCTCGAGCGCGCCGTGGCCCAGTTCGATACCCGCTTCACTCTGCGCGCTCTCCGCTCAATATCTTCTCTCCGCAAGAGGCTCACCGACCGTGTACTATGTTCCGTCGTCATCTTGACATACTCTCCCAACAACGCCACAGCCCGGACTTTTATCGAATACATCGGCATGGACGGCGAGGCGATACAGAGCGTCGTATCCCAGTACAAGGAGGAGGTACAACTCAACAAAAACAGCACCAAGGAGCCATTGCCCGAGGTGGACATCTACATAGCCATCTTGATACAGGTATGTTTGTTGTGGGTGCAGAGCGTGCAGCGACTGACGGGAACAGGTATATCTCTACGACCAGAAGGAGTTTGAAGAGGGCGCCGAATTCTCCGAGAAGCTGGTAGACAAGATCCGAGAACTAAACAGGCGGACACTCGATTCGCTAGCGGCAAAGGCCTACTTCTACTTCTCGCTCTTCCACGAGGAGATGGACCCCAAGCCCCCATCCAAGCAATCGCCCGTTATCACTATCCGTGGAAAGCTGCTTGCTGCTCTCCGAAGCGCTGTTCTCCGAAAAGACCCCGATACCCAAGCGTCCGTTACTACGCTGCTGCTCCGAAACTACCTCTCGACTGCCGACATCACACAAGCTGATTTGCTCGTGGCGCAGACACAATTCCCACCCAACGCTCCCAATAACCAGGTTGCGAGGTACCTGTACTACCTTGGCCGCATAAGGGCTATTCAGCTGTCTTACACCGAGGCACACGAGCACCTAACGAGCGCGACCCGCAAATCGCCATCTGCGCACTGCGCAACTGGCTTCTACCAGGCTTCCATGAAGCTACTCTGCGTTGTGGAGCTGTTGATGGGTGACATTCCTGAGCGCGATGTCTTTAGCCAGCCTCGCTTGGAGCGTGCCATGGAGCCCTACTTCCGTCTAGTCCAGGCTGTCCGTGTGGGTGATTTGCAGGGCTTCTTGAAGGTGGTTCAACAATCATCATCCATCTTCCACCGTGATGGCACCTACACGCTTATTCTTCGTCTGCGACAAAACGTCATCAAGACAGGCATCCGTATGCTGTCGCTTTCCTACTCACGCATTTCACTCCGTGACATTTGCATCCGCCTTGGTCTTGAGAGTGAGGAATCGGCCGAGTACATTGTCGCAAAGGCTATTCGCGATGGAGTGATCGAGGCGTCAATTGACCACGAGAAGGGCTTTATGCAGACCAAGGTGGCTGGAGACATCTACGCAACCCGTGAGCCCGGCGAGGCGTTCCATGAACGTATTCGCGCGTGCCTGACTCTGCATGACGAGTGCGTCAAGGCAATGCGCTACCCAATGAACCAGCATCGCCTGGAACTTAAGAACGCACAGGAGGCGCGCGAGAGGGAGCGTGAGTTGGCCAAGGAGATTCAGGATGGAGACATTGATGAAGATGATGCGGCTGGTGACTTTGAGGGCTTGTAAGCAGGGTCTGATAGTCGAGCGTGTACGATAGCCATGTGCGGAACTGGTATTAGGAAGCGCTTGCAGAGACGAGATAGATCAACATGTTAATGATGCATGAATAGAACAGACTTGAGACAACGCAAGGCCCGCAAACGTGCCTGTATCCCACTACTGATGCAGAAGCATGTGACAAAAGGCAGGCGTGCCAAACCAAAAGGACATCCATGCCGCACATCGACGCATGTGCTAGCCATTTGCAGCAAGACGCCGTTTCGTGAATTAGTAGCCCCCGCAACCAGCCCAGCTCAAGACCCAACGCGTTGCTGCCCCACTGCCCGTTCTCTCTCACGTCACGACTTGACCAGATTGCCAATGCTCTCTTGGGAACTACACCATGCTTGATTGGGGCAGCCATGTAAGTCTTATCTTGTCAATTTCACATACGCCAATGCATAAAATAGACATCATAATTGTCCTGACACTAACACTAGGATTGACGTACCCCGGCGTCTACGGCGCGCCATCCTCCTCAACGACCTCCCGCTGGTCAAGCGCATCGTTCGCAACAACCCCAACTACATTCGCAACCCAGACTTTGACGATCGCTCTAACACCTCGCTGCACCTCGCCGCAAAGCATGGCTTCACCACTATTGCCGAGTTTCTTGTCGATGCCGGCCACGAAGATGGCATGATCAGTCGCAACAATGACTGGGAGACGCCGCTGATGCTCGCCGCCATGGCCGGCAAAGAAGAATGCGGCGTCTACCTCGCCAAGCGATTCCCCGAATGCGTGAGCTGGAAGAACAAGACGGGTTTGGATGCGTTGATGCTGGCGTGCAAGTCAGGGTCTGGCACCTTACACTTAATTCCCACGCTAATTATGCACGGCACGAATGTACTTTCTGCATGCGATAACCAGGGCAATACGGCACTGCATCATGCTTCTGCCGCCGGTGAGCTGAAGGCGCTACGCATGCTGCTACAGTACGGTGCGAATCCGGTTGCTAGCAATAGTTATAGCTGGACGCCGGTGCACTATAGTGCGACCAGTGCGGCAGAAGCGTATTTCAAGACACTGATTATCGAGTTTGAGAAGAAGAAGGCCGAGGGGAAGCGGCTGAATGCTGAGAGGGAACGTCAGCGTTCGGCGGGTGTGCGGTTGGTTACGGATCCCGAAGGGCTGAATGGTGCAAAAGAGGCGAATGCAAATTCTAGGCCTGATGGTGCTGGGCATCGTAGGAGCGGTAGTAGGCAGAGAGCAAGAGATGATGCGGCAATTGCGGGATTGCCCACTCCCGGTATGGAATGGAGTCCTGTGGAGAAGAGGAGAGCTATGACGCCGACTGAAGGCCGCGGATGGGCATTTGCTGCTGATAGTATTCGTCCCAGAGCTGATACTGGAGAGTCTATCTAGGGACAGACAAGGCTTTTGTATTGCATGTTTGGGTATGGGGAGTTTGAGTGTTTTTTGTACTACTATGATTGTTCGGATAGGGACCAATTACGTGATTCGCCTAAGGGTTTTTGTTAGTATATGAAAACCTCTGATGCCCCGCTAGATCGGGAGTCGTTTGGAATTGAATCAAGATTTCATGTAATGAGTGTTTCTTTAGTATAATCTTTGCTGTGTGTTTAAACGAATGTCTGGATAATAAGGAGGATAGGAGTTCATAGAAATGATCAGCTTCTCACCATGCTAAATTCTCCAAAGAAGAGTCTAAGGAAATCAAATATGTTTCTCACAATCTTAGACTTGTTTGAACTGCATACATGTGCAAAATGTTCTTAACGCCGTATACCCATGCTATACTGCTGAGCGCCATTCAGGCTCTTCTTTTGTCCTTCTGCAACCCATTTCATCCATGTAGTTATTCCTAACCACCAATCTCAATCGTTAACGTGAAGAATCGTTGAAAACACCCAACCATCAAATACCAACAGTCAGAAAGGTCATTATGAGAGACATCGCTCAGAACCCCCCAATCCCCTCATCCACACTATCCTCTTCCTCTCTTTGTTCTTTCCTCCCCCTCTCACCACTACTTCTCCTCTCCTCCCCATCCTCTACACCCGCACTAAATAATCCCCCCAACCCAACAGCCACCTGGCCATCTTCACCCCCATCCTCATAATACCCCCACTCAAACCCAATATCCTCCAACGCATGCGGCGCCTCTCTATCCTCGACTTTACATTTCACCTCCCTCAGTCCGACCGCAACTATCGACTCATCCTCTAGTTGCTTTGAGGATTTAGAGTGAATGTCTGATGCTGAGTCTACGCGGCGGACAGAGGCTGAGGAGGCGGTATTGGAGGAGGTGGGCTTTTGTGCGGTTTCCAGGGCGGTGACGAGGTAGATGGGTTTGCTTTGGAGGGCTGTTTTGCGGAGGAAGGAGAGGGTTTGTGGGGAGTTGGCAAGGTGTGAGAGGAATATGATGGGGTTTGTGAGAGTTTTGAGTCTTGTTTTTTGGGCAGTTGTAACGTGATTGGTTTCATCGTGGGTGATTGATGGTGTGTGAGATAGGGAGTTGTTGGAGAGAGGGTCGGTAATGAGTTGGCCCAGTGTGAGGGATGTTGGTGGAAGGGGAGCGGGGAGGCGGAGTAGAGATGCCATTTTTGTAAGTCTTGAGTTCGTAGTAGAATTTGGATTTAGAAGTTGAGTGCAGGATTTCAAGGCTGGTCGAATAGGGCCTGTTATTTATCACTACTGCTCCGTCTTTATAGATATATTCAAATTCGACTTCAAGATTCAACGTCGATCCGTGCATTGCAAACTTGGATCATATTCTTCACTCAGCACAGACACTAGAGCAAGAGAATCCCTACTTATGCATCCGCTCGGCGGTCGATCAGCATGCCCATGCTTGACGTTGCGTGACGACGAGCGGTCGCTGCCTCGCTTGTCGTCGGGCGGACGGCGAATGCTCGGCTGAACGCGAGAAGGAACCGGTAATGATGACGACTTCTAGGTTCAAAATGCCCCGCATTATGAAATCGATTACCCCATCGGTAACGAGGGGCCACATGCGCTGTTATTTGGACGTGTCTGAGTGGTGGTCTGATGGCGATCGGCTGACTTGTTCCTGAGACGCATGACATCCGAGGCTAGCTTGTGTACCACAACGGAAAAGCTCGGAGCCGCAATTGGAGTCGCAACCGCATGTGCTACAGATGGTATGTTGTATGACAAAATAAATGAAAGATATGAAAAGAGAAATACTACATTTACATATGCGTGTGTGAGTGTGGCGAGATTGATCGCGTGAGTGGATTTATCTTGAAATGAAATATCATAGGATTCGACGGTAGAAAGAGAGGAAATGACAGCATTGGCGGTGGATCCCCGCATTGTTCCCAAGGAATGCCAATGGAAGTATCGAGTGAGATACCGGCAGTTGGAAGAATCTGTCAATGCCTAGAGCATGCTACAAGCTGTCTTATCTAGCACTTCATCTGTCAGCTTTCGTCTAGAGACGGATTACTCTGGTCGCCGCCATTGCTGTGTTGGTACTTTAGTATTCGTAATTTCCTATAACACTTAACCAGGTGAGGAATTTTTCGTACGGTGGAGATGTTATGCACATCTCGACTATTGTTGCAGGAAAGCAGTGCTTTAGCAGGCGGAGATCTTATCCCGCATTGTCTTATTGGTCATTCTTCACATGTAACTAACTAGTTAAGCAAGGCAGGCTTACTAAGGCGTAGCGTGGCGTTCGTGGCATTCGTGGCTGGTGGCTGGTGGCTGGGCAGACGCAATCGGCGACAAAGACGCGCTTCACATGTGACGTTTAACGTTTTCATCGAATTGTGTCGCCATTGCGGTTTTCGCACCATTGCCAAAGATAGTAGCGACCATCGCTTCGTCTTCAAAGAGATGGCAGAAGTCGAGATAGGCCTCTCCGCCAGGCTTGAGGCCTATAGTGTCCTTTGCCCTCGGCAGTGGGCGGATAGCTAACACTGCCACACAACGACATGAGCAAGGTACCGCAGGCATGACGACTCGACTCGGCTCTCTGGTCATGATTGCAGCCCACGCAAACATCCACCACCAATAACGACATGGCAGAGCCAGCACCCAATGCAGCCAGCAGCCAGTCTCGCCGCCAAAATGCCCTCGCCGAGATCCAATTCGCCTCTATCATCGACGGTGACCTCACTCCGTCCGAGGATGAGACGCCAGAGGAGAGGGCCTTGGAACTCGAGACGGTGCAGTCGGCCATAGGCATCAGCATCGGCAGACAGCAGACGCGTCTCACCTCTCCAAAGACACCAGCTGCGGAAAAAGCTGCAGCTCTCGACGCGACCGAAGATGGGGCCTTCTTCGACGGCTGGCAGGAGGCTGCCGAAGCATCTCCAGAACGGAAAATACCGGCATCGCCTGCATGCACACCAGAGTCACCAACAGTAATATCCACGCACACCGAGAAACCCGACCTCAAGCCAGCGCCTGCCCAGACGGCAAGGAATGCCGACCGTAGGCAACAATCCGATCCGCCAACGCGTCTTCCTTCACCATGGCGCGCCGGCCCAAAGACATTCCAGAAGGAGAAGCAGGGTGACCATCGCGCTATGCTGCGCCAGCACCTGCATAGTGGACGAAGGCGAGCGTCTTCGGGAAGTTCAATGGGCGAGACTGTGCGCAAATATATAAACTTTAACATGCCAGCCTCGCTTACCAAATCTTACAAAGACATGCATTTTTCGCTACCGAGTCTGTCATCTTCATCAGTAGACACTGCCCCAAAGCAATCTAGTAAGAGGAGGCGGGAAACGCTTGCCAACCCACCACAGCCTCAGAACATACCACAACATGACGGTGCTCGTCAGTCCGCACCTGACAACTCTAGAAACGAGCTGAGCAATTTTTCAAATGCTTCTCAGCGGTCCAACACTGCTCCAGTACCACAGCGTGAATTTAGCGACAGCAGCTCATCCACTCTGTCTCCAACAAGTCAAATACCAGTCGAACGGCCGGCGCCTATGCTGCGTCGGTCCAACTCCGAAGGGTCCCTGCTCTTATATCGAACAAGATCCCTTGCGTCTTCCCTGGGCGACGACACGCGCTTTGAAAGTGTACATGAACAGGTCAACAGTAGGCTCAAGGCTCTGAAAGACAGTTGGCAAGACTCGAACTTCAAGCTTCCAAGTCCTTTGCTCCACAGTTTCAACCTAAGTTCCAGTACCGAATTATTCAAGAACCGTAATTTCAGCAATGTATCCAAGGCACGTGATACTGAGGAAAGCCCTACGCCTCGAGCGGGCCTTCATGGAAGTATATCTGGACCGACACCACGCAGTGACTCTTTAAAACCGAAGAGATCTTCACTCCGCCCTGGAGATGCAGAGAATGAATTGCATCCGTATTTCACACAGGCTCTCCAAGAGATAGAGGGAGATTTGGTAATACTGGGAGGCTATCGTGGCTCTGTTTTGCGCTCAGCGGAACCTCCTCATCGGCAACTGTGGGTGCCTATCAAGGTTGGACTAAATCTACGAAAAGTAGATCTTGAGGTACCTCTTGATCCAGATGCTGATGAGAAAATGCATGAAACCATTATTCCCAGTGGTATGCTGACCCACATTGGCCCGGTTGATATTGCAAAACGCCTTTTCAAGCGATTGAGGGCGAGCGACAACGCTAAAGAGGGGAAGCTGAGAGTGCACAACTACGGGTACGATTGGAGACTATCGCCGCATTTTCTTAGTAGGCAGATGATTAAGTTTCTAGAAACACTGCCTTGTAATCAGCCGGGAGTACCTCCAGAGAAACGGGGCGCTACAATGATTGCACACTCACTAGGTGGTCTAATCACTCGCCATGTGATCAATCAGCGTCCTGAACTTATCGCTGGAGTCGTATACGCTGGAGTACCACAGCGATGTGTCAATATCCTCGGCCCCTTCCGTAACGGGGACGACGTACTCTTATCCTCTCGTGTCCTGACCGCTCAAGTAAACTTCAGCATCCGCACATCCTACGCACTACTGCCCCTAGACGGAAAATGTTTCATCAACAAACGCACCAAAGAGGAATATCCCGTCGACTTCTTTGATATAAACACCTGGAAGGAATGCCGCCTATCTCCTTGCATAGCAGCACCCCTGCCGCGCCCCGAGCCTCCCAAAGACAGCACCTTCAGCGTTAGCGGTCTCATGAACGCCGTCTCAAACGTCCTCCCCACATTTCCTCCCCGCAAAAACAGCTCCGCAAAAGAAGCATCCGACGTGGCCCGCAACGCCGCAAACGCTGTCACAGAAGGCAGCGCCGAGCAAGCTGGCATGGGCCCGCAAATGGGTCACAACCAGGCTACTGAGACTTCCAAGGAACCTAACCCCGCAACCCATGTTACGATCCCGTACAACAAGGCTGTTGAGTACCTAACTCGCACCCTTTCGGAAGTCAAGAAGTTCAAGCAAGAACTCGATCACCGCCCTGAACACACGGCCGCAAATCGGTATCCCCCCATCGCCCTGATTTACGGGAAATCCATACCTACGGTTTACGGCGCAAAGGTGGAAAGCAGAGAAGCTATCAAGCGCGCAGATGTGTACGATGAGCTTGCGTTTGCGAGTGGAGATGGCGTTGTACTGGCTCGCGCGGCTATGGTGCCTTCCGGGTACAGTGTTGTAAAGGGGGGTGTGGTGTCGAGTGACCGTGGCCATGTTACGCTGTTGGGTGATTTGGAGGCCGTGGGGAGGTGTTTGCATGCTGTTGTTCAGGCAAGGAAGAAGGGTGTGGGGTTGGGGGAGAAGGCGCGGTGAGGAGGTCGGGATTTTAGTGGAGGAAGAAAGGTTATTTATATCTCTATCAACTAGATTATTGAAGAGTTGGATGTATGTGATATCGAGAGACATGCTGAGAGGTTGCTGTGTGATGTTGCTCGGAGTGGTGGGTGGTGATGTCGGACTGTGATGGCTATATGTTGTCAGTGTTCTTTGAGACACGATGTCTGATCTGTTTGCATGTTTTGTTATATAGCCCTACCTTTGCCTATGGTGTTCAGTCCACATAATGTATCAGAATTATCTTTGCAAACATCCAGCGTGATTTACCGCTTTCCAGTTTCCATGTCACGGCGTGGTGAGTTTTTCTATCCAGCACTGCTCTAGACTTCGCATAGATAGAGCGTGTTGTGCGCTGGTCGTCTTTTTATTTTCTTTGAGAAAAGTTCAGGAGCTAGCTCAGGTCATTCACGGGGTAGACGACTGAGTCAGATACTGCACAAGGAGTACACGGGTTGACAAGAAAGAATGTTTTTTTGATATCGTGTAGCGAGTATATTCTTCATTTACGAAGTTGGGAGAATGAAGCCAGCGAAACATGTTTGTGAGTGGACGGGGCTGGGTGTTTGAGAATTCGTGCGATAAGGAAGGCGTTTATGTTTTTGTTTGTCAGGGATGCTTTTTTATTCGCCATTTCTTGTGATAAAATTCAATTTGAAAGACTGAGTCCGTTGCGAGAAAAAAGGGGGTTGAGCGTGTGGTAAAATGCCTGATTCAACTCATGGCAGAACGGGTGTTTTACACTGGCATGGAAGCGAAGAACTTCCATGCACTGAAGCATGTACAGAGTTTCTTTAAGTAATAGTGATTGTGGATTGTATTTTTTGTGGTCATCACTGCATTGCTCTGTGAAAATGCATTGACTGGACTTGCGAAGTCTTGGTGAAATATTTTGCGAGAACACGTCTGCATAGAATTCTAGTGGGTGCCCGGCTGACTTGAGCACAAAAGGACGTGGGTTCATCTTGAAGATGCGCATAAGATTCGGGAGATTGTGAAAACAGTGAAAGTCAACACCACATTGCTGAAACGTCTTGAGTAGCCATCGATGTCCCGCTGTCTCACCATGCACAAGACGATCTCAAAAAAGACTTTTCCTTCCATTCCATTTTCAACAAAGAAACAGAAGTTTAAGCTCGTCGACATGGACGGAGACTGAGAAGTCCGATACCGAGCAAGTTGACCAGAGATCAACCCACAGGATCAAGTCTCGAACGGGCTGTTTGGTTCTTGTGGCGACTCCGTTGACGTACCTGGGACTGTGCGCTTCACTTTCCCTGTGCCGACTAGATTATTGCGCAAGAACGATCTGCGTCCAAGAAATGGATATGAACTTGCACATGAATGTTCGCCCTGGGGCCATTGATAATGACGGGCATGGATGTTGACTAAGAATACTGAGGTGGGCTTAACTTCGCTACTGATAGTTGTCCTTGCGACAGATTCGTCCGGATTCGTCCGGATATTACTGGAGCTGGGTCTTGTCACCCTTTTTCTGGTACTGAGGCTGGTGAGCATGGCTGTTCCGCGGAGTATATATGTAGGCCCTCTCCCAGGGATTGTTAGTCGACGCCGCCATGGTGTTATTAGTGCAGTGGTCTCCCCAGCTGGCACGGGTATCCGTGAGCATCAGCACAAGGAACGTTCAGACGGACTCAACGGTGCAAGTGAGTAGATGTTGTCAGGCGAAGGCGCTTACGCGGAAGATCACAATTGAGCCGGCGGCATCAATGTCGATGCTGAGGGATTGACGCCTGCTTATCTCGGTTAGCGCGCTTGGCGCTTGTTTCGGTAACGGTACCCAGGTAAATGCGCTAGGCTGTCCAACATCAGACGTTGCCATAATCTTTGATCGCATCGCCAATCGCTCAACCTACTCGATCCAGAATACTGACTCCGATAGAGATCGATTTCGACTTATTATAGCTTGTTGCAGCGAAGCGAAATTTCAAGTTTCGTCTCATCACTATGTTGGCTCCACAAGTCGCGCGTATGCGTAGTTGGGATGCAAGCATAGTCACGGCGCGCTAACCACAATGATTGGCTGGACAAGGGATGACCCGCAGCGGCAGGGCTGAGAGATTGTTCTGTATGGGATCCTACAAAGCTTCCATGGCTCTAAATGATAACTGAACTCTACTGAAAAGGTGAGAGCTTGTTGCATCCGCTTCTTCCGAGGAAGCTGATGACTCGCTTGCTCCGGTAGAGCCTCTTGGACATCCACATTCCCCATTCCCTTCATCCGACAAACCATCGTTGCTAGTTAAGCTGTAGAGTTGAAATGTGAAGTTGATACGTTCAATCGAAGTCAAGGCCCTGCATAGTGTGCAAACACGCGAGGCCGTACGCTAGGTGTTTCCGAACCTCCTTTATTTGACACCAAGCATCTAGTTGCTCACTACTGTCATGGAGACGGTTGATAGAGTTGCCTCATACTCCAACCGTGCCAAGAGCCTGAGACCACATGCGGGTCAAGTCACTTCGCTACCATGGCAGAGGATACTGCAAAGCACGACAAGGTACCAGTCTGTGTACTTGTCTCCTCCGCGGTCACGTAGCCCAATCATTTCAATAAGCCTGCACTCTCTACAATGGTGCAACTGTCCCTGTAAGATAGACTGATTATCGTACGGGAAAAGGTCCCAAGCATCTAGCATCGATAGTGTATGTGGGGACTTAACACGGATAACTGCCACTTGGAAGAATATGTTCGCTAGCATACTCACAAAACCATGGCATATAACCTAGTAATTCCCACTAGCGGCTCCGGGTTTAATCCTTGCTAAAATCGATTAACACGGCTGGCTCGGAATCAGACCATTGGCAGTCGTTTGCACACATACTCTCCTTCATTGTTCGGCTTTACTGCCGCGGCATCGCACCTTCTTCACATCGGCTTGAGCCGATGACCTACCGTATATACCCGTGTCCAAAACCGAGACTTGCACAAGAATGGGAAATGGAGATGCTATTTACTCAAAGGTATGACAATACTATCTAGTTGGCACCGTTTGAAAGACGGTGCGTTAGTTGCATTCGGCAGTGGTTCGTTAACCACGCATGATCAGTGCGGTAATCATGGACGTTTTGCAGCCAGACTAGACAAACACCGACAACCCCCAATCCCATGGATCAGCTTGTTTTTGGGTTGATACATTGCGGAGCAGTCGTGCCCCATTGATCCTAAAAGCACTCTTACCGAGTCAACGAGGCGTTGATCGTTTCCGCAACTGGATTCATTCTGCTCCGATGATGGATTTTCCAGACTGTGCCACATTGTAGCCTGCGTCATGCCTCATCTCTGAAAATGACGGTGACTGAAGAGGCCATGGCCGTATATGCCGCCTGCCTACACAAATAGAACGTAATGCCGGCTTTGTTATACTGCACCTGTCGTCTGATGGAGCTCAGCAACCAACATTGTACGACCTGCAAGATTGCGTAAATAGTACGAGTGGCTGTAGTATAGGCCTTTGAAACGGGTCGACCGCAGCAGCATCAAAGCCCTTGGGTTGAGCACGGTCGGTAATGGATACCCTCCACTACGATGTTCAGACGATGGTAGGACCCCTGTGCCGGCTGTCAGTAAGCAGCCGCCAGAAGACTTCGTTCCCAATCCGATCGTCTGCTTGCATCGTTTGTATTTTCAGTGTACGATCAACGGCTAGTTGGATACAGATGTACTGAGTGTGTCCTTCGCTTATGCCAGTCTTGTCACCCTTAAAATGTGGCTTTGGCGCCAACTTGACAGATTTAACGACCGCCTCACAGGGCAAACGATAGAGTAGACTCTGTGAAGTAATAATGTACGTACCGACTCAAGAACCGAGACCCTGATGAGCCGATCGCCACAAGCCACGCTGGAAGCTCCCTTCAGCCACTTGCTGAGAGCATCAAATCATGCAGGTATATTCCCCGCGATTTTCACTCTGGGCGGTCGCTAGGCGTCAAGCCACGGAGAAGACAAGTGTAGAATTCATGCTATGGAAGCCCTTCGTGCGCAGGTGGGTAGCTAATGGCAAGGGTATTCGTACGCCACTAGCACGCCTGCCACTTGACAAATTCAGGCTGGCCCACAGCTTGAGTCTTTGAACTACGCCGCAAAGTAGCGTGACACCCATGTCATTTTGGGCTATCCACTGGTCGCTAGCAACCAAGGCTGTGTGCGCTGCAAAGGTGGCATGCTCAGGTTGTACGGCCCAGGTCTAGCAAGAACCATACTCCTGGGCGCGTGTTGTATTGACCAATCTCCAGCAATCTCTCGAATGAGGGGTTACTATGCTCCCCTCCGAGGAGCTTGAGGCGTGGTTGTGGTCTAGCTATTGCATCAGATCTATAATATAGATGGTTCCGTCTGCCTGTGCAACTATCCAATTCAGATTTCAGATTCTTCAAGTCCCTTACACCAGTATTGTGTTGTCGTTTCCCACTGTTCTTTGCTTTGTGCTACGACCAGAAAGCGTAACTGCACCGGTAGGATTGCATGTTGATCCTTCACCAAGACGTTGGCGCTAACTGCATATAAGACCTACATCAGCCGTCATGGAGCAACGAGTCCCAACTTATACTTCGAGCCCATATAATTACATGGAGAACTACCCCGAACCGTACGAAGCACCAATCCGCAATGCAAACGAACCGATAACTTGTCAACCCAACACTGGATCGTTCAATGAACGACCATCTTTCCACAGCTTTGACCGCGGTACATTAGTCCATCAATCAATAGGTGTTCCAATGGAATTCATGGATCTATTGGCGCTTGAGGCACCTTGTGGTAGTCCACTGTCGACAAGCTCTACCATAAGTCACCCTGAGAGCGTGCCTTCACCGCCTTACACCGGCCTCCCAGCTTTCCACCATGTTCAAAACAATTCAACCAACCATGTGGCTGTCTCAAATGATTCTGAGTCTCTCTGGCCATCTACCTACCCTGAAGTCACCTCCTGGGATTCACGACCTTATGTTCTGCCCTATCACGAAATCCTCAGCTACGAACAGCGCTCTTACCAACTGATGCCGAATATTTTGCCTGAACCAAGAGTCCCTGCACTCACAACCTACTCGCAATACTCTATGCCACAGAAGGATTCCCTGAATCCAGCTGTGAACTCTGGAGCTTTCGATCTCACAGGTTTCAACAACAGCGGCGATGAAAGCGATGACCTGAGCGATTCCGATAGCGATGCTTCATGGCATAACGAACCCCCTTCATCCAAAGGCTCAGAAAGCTGGTCTTCCAGAAGAGCTCAGCCCATATCCAATGTCTACAGGCTTGAGGGGTGGTCCACCAACACGTGTACCTTCCACACAACAACCGATCGCAGGCATCAGTGCGAACAATTAATCGGGCCCAACAAAGACACGCCTTGCCCCAAGAAATTCCAACGACCAGAGCATCTTCGCCGTCACATCAGAAGTGTTCATGGCATTGGCCTCATCCACGTGTACAAATGCAAGGTTCCTGATTGCTTTGCGCGCTTCCGAAGGAGTGACAACTTCCGCTCGCATTATCTCACACATTTGAGGGTTGGGAAGAGAAAGGGCAACAATAGGAAGATGACATTCCAGGAACTCAAAGGAATCCTTGGTCCTAAAGAAAAAGATCTGCTAAGATGGATCAAGGTGAAGCACAGGCAAACCTAAGCTAAGTCTTGGATCGGTGTCGTCTGTTCTAGAGCACTCGACAGCATGTGGATGTAACTCATTTCGGTTTGTCTTTCTGGTCTTTTGATGTTTCTGGTGTTGGGGAGGCAAGTGATTATCATGCTTCGGCATACTTTGTGTCATTTTCTGCGCTTCTCCTCCTGTTGTTTGTAGATTTTCTTGGTGTGTAAACTCCCTTGAACAACAACAATGAAAATTCAAGAATCTCCACATCCCAAGTCTCAAGAATTATGGTTTGTGCACTTCTCATGCAAGACATATCTCAGAGATCCTCAAGGGACTCTGCGGTCCATGTCGTCCCTGTCTTCGGCTCCAGATTGCACTAAATTCGCCATTGGCATCTCCCGCATGAGCTGACGAACACGTGAGATGAGACAACGATCCCCTCAATCGACGTACGCAGACCCCCTGGATCGAAATGGGTATGATCAAGATCGCCAACAATGACGCTTCTCACACCTGCTCGTGGCTAACGTCAGCCAAAGCCAGATCCATTTTAACTACACGCTAATGCGCATGGCTGACCTCGATGGAACCTGGATAGAAGTCATTGACACCGGCCAGAAGACGAAAGACAGCCAATCCTCTCTTTTTGTCGAAAAAGATGGGGCCCACCAGTATGTACATGGATTGCCATGAGCCACAGGACCAGGATGTAGCGAGCTGCAGGTGCCTCTCTGAGGGATAACTTCCGGTTCGCTAGAGTTTGACTAGTTGGCGTTGGGGTTGCCAGGCGGGTGGTAAGTGGTCACTGCGTGAGAGACAAGGCCCTACCTTGTAAGGCTTGGATATTGTCTATACTCGAAGCGGAAACTGGAAAGGAATCCAAATGCATGCGCACTAGCCATTTTCCACGGATGTCAGTCTGACGACGTTGGGCTACATCCCAGATGCAAGCGTCAATGTCATACGACCCAAGATTCGAGATGCGATCTGGTCCAAGTCTGCCCCACACCAGGTTAATGGGTCTATACTCACTGTTCTTTTGCTGTCCTCCTGCACAAGAACCATGGAATCACTCTGGTCGATTAAATATCTATTTGCACTTGTACTTGTATTTTACAAATATCGACCCAGCAAAAAAATCCCACGGAGCCATCACGGGAATAACAAACAACGATGGCAGTGGACATAAGGTGCCTACTATCTTGCGCCTCGGAATCTGTAAGCCGTTGTTGTGGGCCTCTGGAAAGTCGTCACATTCTCCACACGCGCCGCAGCGCTTGCATTAGCCAACCAACGGTGGCACAGTAAGCCATTACCTGGCGCGGCATCCTTTGCCGGGTTAGCATGTGGAGGGGATTGGCCGCAGTTCTAAGCAATCCTTCAACTACAAGGAAAAGGTGGATTCACGTGGACTTCTCTCAGGCTATGTTTGTAAGAACGCCGTATTTCTAGGATATGCTTGCAATATTCACTATGCGGACTACGGTCTGCCTGCTATAACCCCACCAGCTTCGGGACGGCTTGGCCAGTGCTAACCACAGATCATGTGCTTGACAACCGTATTAGGCATTGTTTACGGGCACGCAAATATGTGGGTATCTTATTGAGTTAGCGAGGTGAGAGTGATTAGGATGCCGTTCTAGCCCGCAATTCACTATGCCTTCACCGGTGGACTACTCTCTCAGCTAAGCTGCACCAAGATTTCTTTGTTCAGACACCATACCTCGAACGAATTCTTCCAAGAAAAAACGCCCTGTATTTAGAATTGCAGGGGCCAAAAAGGCGCAACCCAATACACGGCGGCAGCAAGACAATCCCACAAATATCCAAGAAGAGACCAACAACATGTAGATCATCGTTATGCAAAGCAGCCTCGCCTCAAAAGTCCCAGTATCTGAGCGACTACATGCAGCTTCAAAGGCGCGTGCAGCAATGTCCAACCCCCTAACCCAAAGCGATCTGATCACATTCCTGAGGCTGTACATCAACGTCCGATCCACTTCTCCGCATGTACAGTAGTCCCTCCATGGTTGATGTCAGCCTCACGTGGCAATTGGCCGACAAAGTACCGCCTGGGACTTGATTTTGTGTAAAACCAAATGCTCGAGTCGAAGCAGGTACCGGGCGTTGATCGGTGAGACAGCTCATAGTAGTCGGTAACCCTCCCCAAATCATCCACCTATTCTGCATCTAGCACGAATGCTCAAATACATCACTATGACAAATGATCACACGGATACCGCACACCCAGACTACACCTGAGGGCATGCACTAGACATGAAGGCATGCATGAATGCCTCGTGCATTCAAAAGTTGAACTGACCGAATCAACACCATCAAACCACATACACCAATTCACCGCGACAACAACTTATCCCATCGAATCGAGCTATCCACACCTCGCACCTCTGCACCCCCACACTAACATCTCTCCAAACGCAGATCTTCACCACGCCAAAACAAAAACCCTGTTCATCCACTAACCTCCTGATCTACCACCCCGTCATCTCCTTTGACCACACACACCGCAGCACCCCCAACAGCTGCGCGCGAATCATTGTTCCGCGGGGACCAGTATATACGAGAACACGGCGCATTTGTTGTGCATACAAGTCTGACATACAGATTGTACTACATACGTTTGTTCCCTACGACGCCGCAAGTAGGGGGGAAGGTCCTCACTCACCAACCCACACACACACGCACACATGAGGCTTATGCTGCACGCCCTATAGATGTTGCACAAAGGCTTGGACAAGTGTGGCGCATAAAGGATGTAGATTGTAAAAAAACGGTCGGGAGGGGGGAAAGAAGGATGGGATTGGTGGATGTTGCCGGTATGTGGATAGCCGCTTGTTAGTGAGCTTGCATTGGGGGAGGGCTGAAGATAGTGATCCTTGGTGCATACGTGCTTTTGTAGCATGGAAGGCTATATGGAACTTCTATGTAAGGGGTGGGATAGTTTGGTAGTTTGGTAGTTTGGGATTGGTGCGGTTGTATAGACCGCCCTCTTTTTTTTTCTTCCTTGCAAATTACGGGATGGGGATCTGGCGTGTGGTGAAATGAAGGAGAGAATGTGGTGATCTTGGACTTTAGGGATGTGATCTAGAAGGCATAGTACCAACACTCGTAAGGGGGGGTTTTTTTTCTTTCGCCTCAGGAGCTGTGGAGGATTCATTGTTTGAAGCTGCGCCGTATGCGGGTTCTGGGGTAGATGCATGTCGACCTGTATGTACTTCGCCTCCACATTCCAGTGTCGTTTTGTTGGCAATTTCACTACATTATCTCCGATGGCGTAGGTTGCCAATGCCTACTGTTCTTGCTGCAACTGCAGGGTTGGCACGCAGTGATGTTTCCAGGACGACATCCGCGTTCTAGTGCACCCACTGCTATGGCGTGAGCTGCGGCTCATGAAAGTCTCCCACGCGTGGCATGTCACTGATGTGCCGCCATCTGGCATGCAGGTGGCGGCTAACGAGTTGCTCGAGCGCCAACTTCGATTCGATTTGCTTTCTTGGACGGTATTTGGAAACTTCGACTCTTGCTCGGTTCCAATGTGCTGGATACACAACATCTGCCGATGACGAGAAGCGCTTTGCGATCGAGACTCGCGTATATGCAATGGATAAAGCATGACAAATGATGGTGACATTATGGTACGATGCACGAGTTAGGAAGCGGTGAGTAATGAAGGGCATGTCATGCATGGTGAGCAATCAGGCTGTGACTTGAGATGCCCACACGAGACGGGAAACCCTACACTCGCGATTTCGATATGGTTGGCTAAAACAAATCTTGTAGACTGAATGATGTTTGGTTCTAAAAGCCGAGTACAAGGGGCATCAGAAAACATAGAGAGCCATATTACGAAGCTAAACGCCTATGTCCGATTCCTATTTCCCCTGGCCAATGCTCCGTCATTGAACATGTTTGTTTTTCACAGTGAACTGACATAGGATCAACACATCCTCACCAAGTCGTACAATGAGACTATGATGTAATCCAAATGCAGTACAGAAAGAACTGACATCATTTTCAGAGTGAATGGAAAGTTTCTGGTCACTGATGGCTACTCAAGCAGACCTGAGCCAAATAGAAATCATATCCAGAAAGCTCAACTTCTCTATCAAAGTCTCATACGAACCTTCTCATCTCAAACTGCTACCGTCACTACAATAGTGAGTGGCAATAACGGTATGGAAAATGCGTACATAGGTATCTACGACAAGTCACTGGCATTATGGCGTGTGTTGTCGTATGCTTCTCTTACAGACAGCAAGCAGAACATTGAAGGCCCCTATACTTATCGAGCCTGGTATAATGCAAAAGCGAAAAGCATATTTCCGTAGCCTGATATGGTGAGGACATGTGAACGCTAGATACTCTCACTCCACTATAGAGCTGACAACTAGGAAATAAATCGAGCCCCGAAAATCAAAAATAACAAAATGTAGTAAAGGATGGCTAAAGGAAGCGAACTTGAAACAAAGAAGAAAGGTAAGTTTTTCTCGAGAGGACTCTATTGGTGTATACTGGGCCACTCTTGTATGAATACTCGGGTTTTTTCACGTACTCACTAAGAGAAGCGCACTCGCAGATTATCTAAGAGCTGGGGATATAGGCCGCCGCTTGACTTTCAATGCGTCTTGATGGGATCGAGATACCGGCTTTGTATTGAACAACAATCTCATGGAATCGAGACGTAGATATGTTTTACTTTTTAACTGTTTCCTGATGAACTTGGTCAACTGTAATTCTTTGGAATAGAATGTCAACTCACCACCGTCATGGCATATTCATGAGTCTCGAAGGTGGTGAAAGTGGGTATAATTTGGCTCTTGTGAGTGAATGAACATTTGGAGTCTATTGGAAAAGCCCTCTGACACACGGCGTGACTACCAGCGGCCTCTGCCTCTGCCCCGGTCACGCCAATCATCTCCGCCTCCACGTCCTCTCCCTCCTCTTCCAAATCCTGGCTCTCGCTCTGGTGGTGCTTCACCTCTTCTCCATTCGCCTGACGGCACCCCTCCCCCACTCATCCTTCTGTCGTCGAATCTACCACCTCCCCCTCTTCCTCCTCTTCCATATCCGCCCCAATCACCTCGACCGCCGAAGCCATTCTCTCTACCCCGTCCACCATACGAGCCTGCTGGCGGTCCCCTTCCTGGTCCAGATAGTGGTGGTGGAGCGGCAGGGACCCCGCCATCAGGCAATGGTGGGAGGATTGCACATGCGATGTAATCACCGATAAGGAATTTGACGTCTGCAAGGGTCCTGTCTGGGTCACCATCCAGCTGCTTGAGAGCTTCCGCGACACTTCCCCCCTCACTCATTTCCATGTCAACGTCATCGTTCCTTGACGGGGCGCCTACTATGACAGAGCCTATGTCTCGCGATATAAATCGTCCTGGTGCGCCTGGTCTGTTGGAGCCTTGTATGTCCGGGTATACGAGTCGGAATGCGATGCGCGATCCAGCATATGGTTGTGGTAGCATTGATGGTACTGCGCTAAGGAGAAGCTGACAAAGTTCGCGCAGAGTGCAGCTTTGCCATGTGTAGATTTGGACATTTGTTGGAAGACGTGGTAGTGTCGGATCGAACTCATCTAACCTTTGTTCTGTTAGCGACATGATGGCGCTTTATATCGTACTAGCCACTTGCCTGTGGAATGATCCTTGCTTGAAGAAGAGACGCAATAAGAAAGGTGTGGTTGTTTGTCGGTCAATCTTCGCTGGGGCGGCCATGTTGGAGGTCACAGCCTTGTCGCAAACCAATGATAAAAGCACTCGATGTGCTCCAATAGTATTCAATCAGGTTTTATAGCATGCGCGACAAAACAGATTCACAATTCGTTATCTTGGCATGCGATGGTGGTGGAGTACGAGTGAGGGAACGCGACGCGGAGAGCTTCTACTAGCGCCGTTCCTCGGCAGAATCGCGCTGCCGATCAGTGAACTTCCATGTCGCATTCTACGTTCACTCTTTATTTGCACTCGAGATAACACCAGGCTACAAACAACACAGTAGCCAAGATGGATTTCGCAAAACTCATGTCCGCGCATATCAAAAAAGGAAAGGAAACAGCCCCAACATCGGAATCAAGCGACAAAAAGTACCTCAAGCGTAGCGAAATCGAGGCCCAACGGCAAGCTGCATACCGGGCTGAACAGGAGGCCGTAGAGAAAGCACGACTGGAGCGCCTAGAGAAGAAACGCAAAGCCGAAGAAGATGAGGCTGAGAAAGAAGCCCAGCGGCGGGAGAAGCGGATGCGCATGGCGGAAGAAGCAAGACGGATTAGGGAAGAAGAGGAAGAGGCAGAAGAGCGGCGGAGAAGGAAGCGCTTAGGCTTGCCAGACTTACCGCCAAAGAAGAAGGAAGGCGATGCAGATGGTACACCTGTGCCCGAGGACGAAGACATTGAAGATGAAGAGTTGATCGCAAAACTGAGAGCCCTCGACGAACCAGCCCGAATCTTCGGCGAGACACACAAGCAGCGCCTAAAGCGATACAAGAAGCGAGTCGGCGCAGACAATCTAGCAGCAATCATGACCGACGGTCCGATCCCGACAACCCTACAACTAGTATCAGAGAAGGACATGAAGGTCAGCTTACAGGTGCCAAAGGACAAGGAGGGTCGAGAGTTCCTCTTCAGGCAACTCGCAAGTTACTTCACAATGGTGCTGAAGGAATGGGACGTGACGCTTTCGCGCCGAGATCCAGAGGTCAAGGAGAGTTATCAAGGGAAGCAAGCCTATGCTGCCATGGTACAAGCACGGGAGAACATGCGTCCGTTGTTCAAGAAGCTGGAGAAGTTTGACCTCCCAGACAGCATCATCGAACCTGTTGTGGAAATTGTGCATGCAGCACAGGAAAGGCGATACGTAGATGCGAATGACGGATATCTACGACTCAGTATTGGCAAGGCAGCATGGCCGATTGGTGTTACGATGGTGGGTATTCACGAGAGAAGTGCACGAGAAAAGCTGCATGAGAGCGACAAGAATGCGGCGCATATCATGAGTGATGAGATTACACGGAAGTACCTGCAGAGTATCAAGAGGTGTCTTAGTTTTGCACAAACAAGGTGGCCACCGACGGATCAGTTGCAGCTTATGGGTTAAATTCTATATATTCTTAGGTGCATGTAGGTAAATGAAACTAACAGGCCTTTGCATATGTTCCCGCATTCTATGATCTCCAGTAGGCAATGTCTATAACCTGAGCCTTTCTAATTTTGCAACCTGCAGACGATGACGTACTTGGGGAGGACGTGAAGCGCTGCCTCCTCGCGTGAGCACGTGCGGGGCAATTGGCAGAACTTGACATCGTCCAACCGTCGTGCATCTCCACTTTTACTATCAGCACTCTCTTCATCTTTCTTCTTCGCCTTCAGTAAGAATTGGGCGGCTGGAAAATTCAAGTCAGTCTTCTCTTGAATTGTTGTTGTCGCCATGCACGAAATCGTCACTTTGCAATTTGGTACGCAGAGCAATTATCTCGGAACGCACTTTTGGAACACACAGGCAAGTGCAGAACTCCAGTGGCTCGTCACATGCCAGTATATTCATATCTTTTAATGCTGTATATTCTTTTCTGAATGTGTTGCGAATGTGTTGGGGAGAAACTTTGCTCTCAAATGCCCCACCAATACTTCATTCATGCACTTCGCAACATTCACACACAGTCTCATTGAATTTTTGACGGAGTGCGATACACCCAGCTCTTCTGACTTGTTTACAGGAGTCATACTTTACATACCCGCCAGAAGATGAATCTCCCGTCAATCATGACATTCTTTTCAGACCAGGCATGGCTCCGGATGGCTCCGACACCTTTACTCCAAGAACTCTGATATACGACCTCAAGGGTGCTTTTGGAAGTATGCGGAAAATCAACGCACTGTACGAGGCAGAGGACGACCGAAGTATTCTGGACCAGCCTGGTGTATGGCCTTCCAAACCCATCGTTCAACGCGCGTCTAAGACCATCCCGCAATCAGCCTACCAAGAGCATCTTGACGCTGGTCTTGAACCACCGCAACTCAGCACATCCTCGGTTCGGTACTGGTCTGATTACAGCCGCGTCTTCTATCATCCCAAGTCCATCGTCCAGTTGTCAGAGTTTGATGTCAATGATAAGCTCATGCCTTTCGAAAACTGGGATGTTGGTATGGAACTATTTGAGAAACTCGAAAGAGAAGTAGATTTAGTTGATCGAGATCTTCGTCCATTTGTCGAGGAATGTGACGGAATCCAAGGGTTGCAGATCTTTACTGGTGTAGATGATGCTTGGGGTGGCTGGACTTCCGGATGGCTCGAAAGACTGAGAGACGAGTATGGAAAGATGAGCATCTGGACCTGGGGCCTTGGTGATCATGGTGCTAACAACAAAACCCCGAGGGTATGATGACTATCATAGGTTGTCTCTACATTATTGACAACATATAGGAACAACGCCTAAAACAAATCGCCAACTCAGCTCGATCACTCCAAGTGCTTGGCGAACAGTCTTCTGTTTACGTACCAATATCGAACACGCCCACTAAAATCCCGAGTTACCTAAAATACGATTCAACGTCCCCGTGGCATGTGACAGCCCTACAGGTTGTGGGAATAGAAAGCATGACTATTTCCTCACGGTTACGAACCACCTTAGGTGGACGAGGTACACTTCAAGACCTAGAAGACACTATCAACAGTACGGGAAAACGACGTATAGCGAAGTTTGAGATGAGCATTGCGGACCCAAATGTACTCTTAGACAAGGCTGCTGATATAGCCGAATCTATGGCAAAGCTTGGATCGACACGGTCAAGACAGGCCAGTGAGGGTGACGATGAACTGACGGAGTTTGATATTGACGTTTTTACCCGCGATTACCGGACCGCTACTGGAAAAACAAAGAAAGAGCATGTATTCGGGAGGGCAGAGGCTTCTCGCGGAGAGTGGTTGTTATCCGATGATAGCGAAAACGACCCTCATGACAGGTTCAACAATGGACCGGCGGTACAAAGGTAAGTGTTTAGTGTTTCTTTCTGATGAACACTCTTCCCTTTCGTGGTCATCCAATCCGCTTATGAGTCTGAAAACACCATTGTGTAATCTACATGCACTTACAACGACTAGATATACTGCTCCTCTTCTTTTCCCCTTACTCGACAGCTTCCCCAAGTCCATGTTCGAAGTAGGATCGGGGAATACTGAGAAGCTTGCTGTTCACGCTGGGCTCACAACAAGTACTGCTGTAGCGGGACAGATACGAACACTCGAGCCGATCATAAAGCGCATGATTAATATCGAAGAAAGAGAGGCGCTCTCTAATGGCCTTCAAGTTCTTGCAGAAGAGTACGATGAAGGTTGGGATAGTGGTTCTGATAGCGACGACGATGAATAATCGGGTCGTATGTCTATGCTTTGAATGCCTTCTTTCTACGAATGTTATGCTGTACACATACTTTTTCTACGGATGGTACGTAGTTCGACATAAAGTACGCAGTGACAATCATGAGTCAACCAATATGATTAGTCGGTGACAGCACATGTCCGCTCTACTTAGCCATCACTAAATATGTAGCGTCCCTAGTTATGCTATGCTCTGCACATGCACCAAGACCTTCACATCGACACACATGTCGTATCGAAATCCGTGTGCACATCCTTATCCTAGAAAACAGGCGTGTGACCTGCAATCAAGGATCGTACGAGGCAAAAGAAAGATCGACTTCCCACCACCACTCACACACGAGTCCCATACTACCTATCAGACGTGTCGCGTCGTACAACATTACTGCATTGTATAAATCATTTCACCTCAACAAAAACCCTGAACAATCGAATCACCTAACACGACAACCACAAACCCCCATGGCAATCTGCCCCAGCAACTTGCTGACCGTGCCCGCAAATGTAAGTAGACAGTAATCTTATAAATGATCCCACTATTGCCAACACGACCTTCCCTGTACCATTCACAGCCGCGAAGGGACACCTGTACCCCCTTGACCGGACGAACAATGTCTGGGGGGTGTTTTGGGTACCTTGTTCGGAAATCCGGGGTTACAAAGGGGGGGGACACCATCGTACAGTAATGCTTACTCTATCATTGTGATCGTCTTGTAAACAAGCCTGGGAAAGAAGAAAAAAGGTTTATCGAACCAGGGCTTTCCCCCATTCGCGTGCGCGTGTCTCTCTCTCGGTGGTTTGCTTTATGAGACGCGTGTCTCCCTTGTAGTTTGGTGTCCCCCCCTTTTTTTTTTCTTCTACAGTCAGACTGGTCGCCCAGATCGTGGCTGTGGTGCCTACTTTACTCCTGAAGAAGAAGAAGAAGAAGAAGAAGAAGAAGAAGAAGAAGAAGAAGAAGAAAACAAGGGTCTATTGTGTTGTATTTGGTAATTACCATGTTAGTACCGTTAGGATGGGGCTGCTGTTTGAAGAGGGGACAGTGATTGACTCCACGCTCTCTCTGTGTGTATGTGTCCAAAGTGAATATAGGGAGATCAGCTCGCTATGCTATGCGTGATGTGCAACATAGAGGCATTACTCGGCTCAAAGCTCGGCTGCCTACCCTGGGAAGGGGGGGGGAGCAAGCATATGGACATCCCGGACCTTATCCTAATATAGCCGGAGACCCGTTACTCCGCTAAACTCATTCCGTCCCTACATTTCTTTATTTGGACCGAAGCGCTCAACTGTCTGGAATGATGCTGCCAAGACCAATTTCCAGGACATTTCAACGGTCAATGGCGATACAGCGTTCGATGCCTACTCTTGTGTTGCCTAATCGGGTAGGTTGGCCATACGTCATACCACGACACGAAAAGTAGCCCTATAACGACGCCTCAAAAAAGGCCGAAAAGTCCATGGCGTACGCAACTTCTTCTCCACAATGATGTTTTGGCTGCAACAAAGCCTGGAATCCATGTATGATGTAGGCGCAGATAACCTTTTTTTTTCTTTCACTTATTTTTTGCTTAACTATGTATAATGTCCACTTCAGCGCATGGGATTGCTCAATCACATAACTTCATGATTTATCGAATTCTACACATCTCTCTCTCTCTCTACATACACTTTTATCTCTCCACAACAACCGTGAATTAACCACATATATCCACGCCCCCAAACCATGAACTCGTCAAATACAATCCCCGCAGCAACAAGCGGATCCCGCACAAAACTCCTATCCGGGAACTTGAAATCCTTCCTCAGCAAACCCGCTCTCAAGCACCCCCAGCAAGCGCTTACCGTGCAGCTTTTCAATGCAGAGCAGAAAGCCAATAGCGGTGCCACGACTACTACTACTGCACAGCCGAGATTACTTCGTGGGCAGCGTAGCGACGAACATGTCGGCGCGGGCAAGGAATAGCGTCATCGGCGATGCGAACTAGGCGAGCATTGAGAGTAAAGATGAAGTGCAACTAGTGAACCCATGTGAAGGAATTTTACCAACGACTATTCTGCGACGACGCCTGGATGATCTGGCTGAAAAAAAAAACGAAGTAGTTCTGCATGTTCTGGACTATAGCCAAGACAGCGCTACGAGTACGGGTACTTTGTGAGGTTGAGGTTGGATCCGGGGACGCTGGATGAGGAGGTTATGCGGGGTATGGAGTGTAAGGATTAGGCAGATAAGAGGGATTGGGGTTGAAGAAGTGTTGGATGAAATACGCAGTTAGTGTGTGGATGCAGTTGAGATGAGGAAGCATTGGTAAGGTATTGAGGAAAGATTTCAGTGCTATGTAAAACTAGTCACAACGATTTAACGTATGCATGATATTCATAAAGTTTCTTAACAAACATTGATTTTTTTGATTTTTTTTGACCTTCTCGGAACACTCAGTGTGATGAATATCTTAAACAAACACCAAACATCCATCCCGATTGCTAATCCTCTCATCAAGATTAATCTCCCTACGCCTCCACTCCCCGTGACTTTCCAAATCAGCCTCAAGCCTCTGCCCGCCACCAACCAACCTCACATTGCGTGCCGACGACGCAAAGCCACCAGAGCTACCACCTCCACCGCCTCCAGTCGGAATCCTCAAGTTCTGGCCTGGCCAAATCTGGTCAGGGTTGGCAATGTTGTTGTGTCTGGCAAGCTCATCAAACGAGCAGTGCGAATACCGCGACGCAATGGCGCGCAGAGTGTCGCCTTGCTGGACGGTATACGTGTTTTCGCTGCCGGAACTGCGGTCGGTGGATGATCCGGACCAGCGGAAGGAACCGTCGTCGTTGGCGAGGTAGCGGTTCAGCGGGATGGAAGAGGCTTGGACCGAGCCGTCGGTGCGGCGGCACTGGGCGTGCAGGACGTAGTCGCCGTGGGCGTCGAGGCGGATGTCTTGGGAGGAGGCAGAGAAGTTACCGCCGAAGTCGCCGGCGGAGCGTTGTTGGTCGTGTGACTGATGTGCGAAGCCGGCACCGGCGCTGGCGGCGGCGGCGCCGCCATATTTACGACGGCGTTCTTCTTCTTCCTCCCAGCGGCGTCGCTCTTCTTCTTCTTTCTTCTTTTCTTTGTGCTCGTCCCATCGGTCTCCAACGGCGTCTTGGGTCTTGTGGCCGGCAAAGGCGCCGGCGAGGGCTCCTACGATGGCGCCAGTGGTACCGTGACCGGATTTGCCGCCTAGTGCGTGGCCGCCGTAGCCTCCTGCTGCTGCACCAGCGATACCGCCCATGATACCACGCTCACCCTCTGGGTCACCCTCTCCGCCATACTGGTTCTGGTAGCCTTGGTTGTGTGAGTTGCGGCCGGAGTTGGACGAGTGCGTGGCGGTAGAGGGGTACTGCTGGTACTGAGGAGGTCCAGAGGCATCGTATCCGCCCTCCTGTGGGTATCCGCCCTGTTGTGGGGGATAACCTTGAGGTGGTGGTCCTCCTTGTCCGCCACCAGTGTAGTACTGGCTGGCTTCTCCTCCCTGGTGAGGAGGCTGTTGCCCATATCCGCCGCCTCCGCCTTCGTTGTACCCGTATCCAGTCATGATTCGTAATTTCTTTTTGGTTTACTTTCTCCTCTCCGATCTCGTACCCAAAGTTTTTCTTTCTTCTCAATCGAAAACCGGGTTATCGGAACAATAAAGCGTGTGATAGTATGTGAACCGCTGAATCGGTTTCACCAGGAAACAAACTTAATCGTAGATGCGTCTGGCCTTCTCTTCGTCAATGAACAAGAAAAGAGCTTGCAAAGTAGATGTGCAATCTGTGTCTGAGAAGTAGGAAACAAGCTCACACGTGTCATCCCGCCAGAAGGCCCTCTCTCTTATATGCCCACGTAACAACATACTAAACCCACCCCTCTTTCTACCCCACTCAGCCAAACCTTCCAAAGTACACCATGGCTACGTCGTCCGACGCATAAATGCGCCCCACAGCCACAGCCACACCGGGTCCGTTGTCGTCAGTCACCGCCACCCTTGGCCGTGCTAAGCCGCATAAAGGTGGAGTCTCTCGCATCATTTGCAGCCAGACAGGCGTCTGCGTCTAGAAAGCTAGAAAGCCGAACGCCACGCCTTGCGCCTCCGTGGTCCAATGGCGCGACTGCAAGTGGGGTGGCTAAATCGGAGGCGCAGCGCTACGAACGGCTGACCGCCACGTTTTGCGGCGTTCCGGCGTTCCGGCGCAATTGCTGACGTGCTTTCTTGCTTTACACTTGCCTTGCTACCGTAGTTGGCAGCTATACTCTCGCTAGTGGGTTATCCGCAAACGCCGGGCGCTTGCTTAATCTCTAGAAAGGCTCACCTGTTATACTAAAATTTCACGATATACAAGCGGTGAGGTAGAGACATGGGATCTTTGTTGAGGCGGTGTTTTGTTGTATGCATTAATGCCGAAGTTTAGAGCGTGCGTGCGCCGAGGGTGAGACGGACGGGGTAGCTCTTTCCAGGGTTTACCTTGGTGGTGTTTATAGCAACTTGTTCGTACTATTATTAAAAACAAGGGGAGGGAGATCAAGCCGAAGTTTTGCCCTCGATTGGGAAGTACACCGATCCGATCCGATCCGTTATCTTTTGGTCACACACCAGGTAGTTATATTGGTTTACACTATACATTATACTGTAGATGTTTTGCGGGAGAAAAATACACCATGCACGACGCGTATTGTTGAGTGCGATTGTAAAGGGGGAAACTGATTTGTTTTTTTGTGTGGAATGAGATTGTTTTGTTGGAATTAGATCCTTGTGTCTAGTCTAGATTCTTCTTCGCAACCCTGTATTTTGCATGCAAAAAAGGGCGTCATAAAGACAGACTAAGTGAAAAAACGAAAGAGAAAGAAACGCCCAGATGATGCAAGTTTTTGCGCTTGTAGATGGAAACGATGATCAAGAGATTCAAAGAGAGACATGACAGCGTGAGTGTGGGTAGAAAACAGGATGAATGATTACGAAGGAGGTGTATGTACAGAAAAGAAACGAAAGTAAAAAGACAAAAAGTAACCCAAGAGTTATGGAAGAAGGAAAACGAGTTTATGTGTTTTGATATAGATACAGGCAGTCAACTGTGTCGATGTTGAGGGTGAGCGCGCGCATCGTTGTTTGGCTTGCCCATGGTCGTGCTAGCCTTGCGTATCAAGCTAGTGCGGCGCCAGTTTGGGTCGGCGGAGGGCCTAGGGGTGCGGGTGCAACCAAGCGATTGCCTGGATTGCGTTTGTACGAGTAGGCCAGCGAAGTGATGTAATGAGCGGTTTCTCAAAAAACGACATGTGACATGATTAGACGTGCAATACAGCGCTTCAATACGTAAAGGCTTCCTCTATGAAATCAACCGCACCCTCGGTAAGCAGTGGCCGCACTGCGTGTCGTACACCGTCGGCCATGCCGCCAGACGCGCATACGGTCACAGCCATGGCACCAACGCGGTGCTTGGCCTCCTCCTCTAGCAAGCTCCTCATATTGGGCCTACCGCTGTACATCTTGACAGTGTCGCTACTGCTCTCGACACGGCCCTTTGGTCTGGAGATGAAGAGCTTGATGCGGAGGCACTGCTTGCGACCCTTCATGCGGAGGACTTCGTCCATCCATGGGCGCACCCACTCCAAGCAGTCGGGTGTGGGTACTGTCCAGATGAGGACAATCTTTTGCGTGGCGGTTGTGCCGTTGTTGAAGCCATTGACAAGGTGTTTAAGGTACATGACCTGGTGGGTGATGCCTACACCTCCGGCAAACAGCACGCAAGTACCATACGAGTCAAGGCTGTGGTGTCCGCCATATGGGCCTTCAATGAAGCCCCACGTAGTAAATTGCTCATTGGGGCTTTTGCTTGCCTTTTCGTACATTTGACGGGTGAGTCCGGTACGGGCACGGCAGATGAGACTGATTTGTTTTGATTTCCTGGGTTGGCCGTTGATCATGGTGACGTCGCCTTCCAAAGTGGGGAGCGTCATCTCTTTGGAATCATCGGTCAGGGTCGCAGCCCAGGCGACGGAAAATGGATGCGAGGACCAGAGGGAGAGGCGAGGCATCCACATGTGCACGTGACATCCGGGACGGGGGGTCCATTCGCGGACCATGTTGATGGTTAGACGGACAGCCTCGCCAGGCATGGCCTCAACAGTGATGGAGGAGCGTTGCTTCAGGCTGAAGCCGTAGTAGCAGATGGAGCACAGGCGGAGGAACCACTCGGCCGCCCAGAAGATGAAGATGAGGTACATCCATGGGACTTGGGGCAGAGCGTGCAGCTCCAAGTGCTTGTACAAGCCGAGGAGAGCAGCAATGACCATGAGGCGGTGGATGTTGAGAAAGGTCTCGTAAAAGGCGTGACGGAATGGCGACCAGGCCTGGATGCCGATGAATGTGAAGGCGACAGTTCCGACCATGCCCCATCCGTAAGAGCCCTCGGTGTGGAGGGCAGCTACGACGGCGGGCCATCCACCACCAGCCTTGGTGTTATACAACCAAGCGGCAGTGTGGACAATGGCTTCGGCAATGGTGATTCGAGCAGCCCAGCGGTGGAAAAGGTTGAAGTCGTCGTACGAGACCTGGAGAAGAGGGATGAGGGGGTTGTTGCGGAGGGCGAAGAGGATGGTGGGAATGAGGTTGAGGGCGGCGAGGGTTCCAGAGCGTCCGCGAAGGGCGGCGAGCGTCTCCTTGTAGTCGAGGACGTCGTAGGGGAGGGCAAGACACCATGCAACGTTGAGGCCTACGTAGATGAAGAGCATGATGGTGTGCCATCTTCCAGGGAGGGTTCCGTTGTCAATAGCGCTGCTGATCTGGAACTGGGCGTTGTGCTTCTTCTTCCAGAGCGGGGCGACGAGGATATGACGGTTGAGCCAGGGCCACCAGCTTGTTCGGTTGGTCTCCCAGTACTTTTGCTTGGGGTTTCCCATTGCGGTGATGTGTCGGCTGTGCTTCCAGAGCATGTTGGAGATGCGGAGCATGAGGAGCATGCCAGAGATGCCTACGAGCATGTAGAGGAAGGTGTCGACCCACATGAAGTTGCCGACTTGGTCCACGCCAGTGAGACCGTACGAGTACTTGAGCTCCTCAAATTGGGCGGCATTCCAGTCGGAGAGGAGGTGGCGCTTGACAGCGGGTGCCTCCCGCGAGCGCAGTAAGCCGGAGAGAGACATGTTGGCGGATAGTAAGGGGGGATTGCGCGATGAGCGAGGGTCGAGGCACACTACCAGGTGCTCTTGAGTGACGGTCGGTGTTGTTGTGAATGTTGTCGCTGTGTAGCTAGGTGGTCCCACGGGCGCTTCGGAGTCGAGAGGCGAAGCGATAGGCGTTGGCGGAATGGGAGGAGGACAAGCGTGGTCACAGGAAATGCATTACAAACGGTAGTGGACGGGCAGTAGTCGTGTATGCACAATGGTGTCAGAAGGGCGGGAGTGGCCTGCACAGTATCGGGCGTGAATGAACGAGGGGGCGTGTTGTGTGTTGAAAAGATTGATGGTCGCAACGGCGTGGCTGGGGTGAATGGGCTTGGGATGGTGTGACGGGCGGCGGGGGTGGGTGAAGTTAAAGCAAGCAACAGGTAGACAGGGAGGGTGTTTTTTGGTTCCCGTAGCGAGTGAGGAACAGTGGAAACGAATGTGGGCAGAAAGCCAGACAGCAGGGACGTCGAGCGTGAGGTCAGAGGGGGAGCGAGGGAAACAGTGGATATGAGGTTCGCGCGAGGGGGTGGCCTGGCCGGCAGCGACCAGGGGGAGGCGCCGGGGCCAGGCGGACGATTGGCTTTGGCTGGTCCGACCAGCTGCTAGCGGGTGAAACGGGGCGGCGGAGGCTGCGAATGCTGGCCACTCAGGCCCGCGTGCCTGGAAGCGCCATGAAACCAAGGCCCCTCAGCCCACCCTCGCCAGACCAAGCCTGCCCATCCACCATCCTATCCCGACCACCCATCGCCATCCCACATCGGCACCGCCGCCCAGCCTGCACAAGCCCACCAAGACGTGCCGGCTCCCGGCCGTGCTGTGCTGTGCTATGTGCTTCTAGGTGCAATTCCATTATACACGCTGTATCAATCCATGTAGTCTATACACGCTGTCGCCTGCTGGTGCCAATCAGGGCGCGGTGCCTGGCGATCCACACGCAGACGCCGCGCCACAGACACTAACTGCCCACGGCCAACACGGCCATGAGAATGATGATTGTTATTGTTATTAACTACTGCCATACTGATGATGATGACGACGCCATGATGGGCCGACGCGCGATGCACGATGCGCGACGATTCCATCAAACACCATGGTTTCCTCTCTCCAACTCTCTTTCCCTCTCACATGCACTATCGCCCGCCACACCCGCCTGTCTTATCCCTCTTTCGCGCCCTCTCTGCAGGAACTGTGCAGGCCCCGACGCCATGCCCGGCCGATGACATGTGCGGCTCTAGCCCGCCGCCGCCTCGAGGCCAACACCCAAAACCGTCCTCCAAGCGAGTCAACTTCATCACACATCCTGGCGGAGATCGCACTCATCTGTTCAGGTAAAACGGCTTTGATGCACCCCTGGCTTCATTTTGACATGTTCCTCACGCTGCCGAGGCCGTCGTCGTCCATGTCGCGTAGAAATCTCCACCATGGCGCGAACCGCCAGCGGGCGTGCTGACAGCTATTCATACGCCCAGTGCACTACCAAGGCCGAGAGCCGGCGCTGGGCACGACACAATGCATTTGCCCTGTGCAAGAGAGCAGCCAGGCCAGCAAACCGGCAACCAGGCCAGCAGTCTGCGCCACGTACCTACACTGCCACGCCTACGTAGTATGTAGCTACTAGCATACTTACTAGCATACCCACACCACTCAACAGCCCTCGTCCCTACTTGCCACGAGGCGCCGTCGCCGCCCTACGCCTACTATCCTACGGCGCTGCATTCTCTTGCTGCTAGTGTATACGCTCTTCATGCACACCACAGTCAACCAATGCGCGCGCTTGGTTCCCCACCCGCACGTGCTTGTCATAAACCACTGCTGTCTCTGTCGGCTCACCCACGCCCCCTTCGCCGCCACACTGCCCGGCGGGTCTCGACGGACCAACGCCCTCTTTTCATGAATAGCACTTCTCGACGGGCACGCATGGCCAACCTGGGGGAAATTGTCTCAGTCCTTGTTTACCCGGCACTCGGGTTCGACCTATTTGTTTCTGCCGCTCAACCTCGGAATACCAAGTCTTCTAGGCAATAAACCTACAAGATTACCTCCATACTAGCCACAATCTAGCTCATCCTCATCCTCACACCCACACCCACGCCCCAAACAAAACAAAACAAAGCAAAAATACGTCCTGCTGACTGTCCGCTTCTCTGCCCTTCTGGCTGCATCCATGCTGCCATCGCATCCCGCCTGCGCCGCTTGCCTCAACTATATCGCTTGACCGTGGTGCTGCTTCGGCGTGAGCCAGTTTCAAAACACCAGCGCCGGAGTGTCGCTCTCCTTCTGCCGTGACTCGGCTGACCTCACGATAACGTTGAAACATTTGTTCATGCGCCGCCTGCTTGGACCCCACCCGCTGTCAAACAATAGCGTGTGCCTTGCCAGGCGGCATAACGCTTCTGGTAATCCTTCACACGCCACGCCTCAGCTCGTCGACGTTCGCCAAAATTCGACGCAGTGACTGGAAAAATCGGAATAGTCATCGAATCCTTCACATTGCGGTTCCACCTATGTCATTTCCGCCAGACCTCGGGACCCGCTCACGTCTAGGTTCTTCAATGCATGGTTTTAGAGTGTGGCGCTTCCTCCGCCATGCGCTATCGTTTGGTGTAACACATTGACAGCGACACGCTTGCACGCCCAAGGGCATCCTCACTCCGAATCTAACACAACGCTTATTGCAGCGTACGCTCTTGTGTACACTACTATGTAAGCATTGTTCGTATGTCGGCTTTAATATCTTACAATTACGGCAGAATCCTTGTTAGCTGCGACATCACCACCACCGTCATTGTCACCGCCATCTCCCTCCACCCCACTCCATAGTGCACAAAACGAAGCTCCGATTCACAGTATATACGCCTGTACCTGCACTGGTCCTCCGATGCGCGACCACGATCCGGATAATCACTCTGTCTGGGACCGAGCGTATGAGCTTGCCGAGAAAACTCCAAGCCACACAGCCCTCCCAGGTCCCCACGATCAAATGATACGTATCCGCAGTGACACCCGTTGGCGTCCCACTCAGTCACCAAACCGACCGACCCAAAATCTGGCCCGCTCTCGCCCTTCGCTAACTTATTTTTTGCAATGAAAGAACCTAAAAAAGCCCACCGACTCTCCCCGGGCCTGTTTTCCACATGAAACCACTAACTTCAGCTCCACCAATCTCCGTCCTTGGCATCCAACCGCCTGGAGGAACCTCCCATACATGAAACACTTTTGCAATCTCTACACCGTATACCAACACCCATCAAGCTTTTTCGCTCTTCAGCTTGTCATGCTGTCGTGTGTAGATTGCCAAGCCAATTGTGAAAGTCACAAGCAACTAACCAACAAAACAAGATTGATATCAATTTACATCCCGTCTTGGTAAACCCCATGTGTGCTTCTAATCTTTTTTTCTCCTTCTCCGCCTTTTGTTAAATCTCTCTGCAAATCTTTCATTCGCCTAATACTACTAGATCCTTGCCGTCGTCCGTTGGGCGACTTTCTTCCGAACATTCTAGATCTTATAGCCCATGGAAAAATACTAAATTCATGAAGGGTTCTCCCTTCCCTATCCCGTCCGCCTGGTTCGCGGCTGAAACGTGGGAAACAACACAATTGACTTGGCGCCTAAACTGTTATGAGATGCGTAGATATTACTGTGCGGCAAAGAGACATATCTCGTCCGGTCACGTTAGTGTCATGTGAGAAGGACACAATGGCAATGGGGGAGGGGTAACATGACTACATCCGTCTGTGTGTATGCACGCCTTCGAACCACACTCTGCTGACCGAGGGCGTTGTCATGTTTCGTATCCACCAAGGTGTTTGTGTGCCGTCCCGTGTCATCATTCCTTGGCTCTTTTTGCTGTACGCCCAGCTACGTGCACACCACCCCGCCCTTCACCGCTCTCTCTTTGTTCAACACCTTGATTCATGCATTCCCAGTCTAATATCGCGAGATACGTCCCAAGCCCTTTCTTCTCACCCTTGCGTTATCAAACAACACCTATATATAGCGAGATGTACATTTGAAATCTCCCGTTCAAATCACACTCAAGAGAAGAAGAAAAAAAAAGCCTTGGGGGTTAACTATCCCAAAATAAAGCATTTAACAACAGCTAATATGAATATGTTCTTCTAATTTGAAACCTCCGTGTACAACGGTCTCTATATACGAAATTAAACAACACACATACATCGCCTACTGCGCATGGCCCGGCTGCGAAGAAGAGGCTCCACCAGCACCACCAGCTGGTGTCCCAGCGGAAGCAGCAGCAGCAGCGCCGCCCGCAAAATTGATCTGAGCAAGGGCATCACGTCTCCAAGCGTCGTCATCTGCGCCCTCACTGTCGGAGCTATCGCGATTTGCGACTCGGAGACCGCCGCCTCCGCCTGCACCTAGGGCTTGGCCTTGATTTCCGCCATATGATGCATTACTCGTGTACTCGTCGTGTTGTTGCTGCTCGTGGATATTGCCGTCTTGAACGTATCCTCCTGCATATGACGGGGTATCACCATAGTACTCTCGATTGTTCCACATATTGTTGTTGTTGTTGTTAGCTTGGTCGTAGTCGTCTACGGACCCGGATGAAGGACCCGGCCGCAGCACGTTTGGCACGGGGCCGCTGAGTCCGCTGCCCCCGTCTTCAGATTCGTATTGTTGTTGATGCGGATGATACGCGTTTTGATAGTTCATGGGTTCGTAGGCGCCCATCTCGTTCATTTGGTCCTGGTTCTGCATGCGCGGGTCGGCAAGGAAAGAGTGCCGGTTGTCTGTCGGTGTGCGGTCGCTGGGATCATGCAGTTCCACGCCTTGGGGTGGACCTTGTGGTGGCGTGTTGGACATGCTAAATTGATGTTGTTGCTGGGCGTGCATGCCTTGCTGTTGAGCATACATACCAGGCTGTTGGTATTGCTGCTGCTGCTGTGCAAGAGATAGATTATTCATAGTCGCCGTCATGCCCATTAGACTCGGGGCTCTTGTCGACCCGGCCTTGATGCTTGCTGGGCCGCCCATTCGCCCAAGCATACTTCCACTCATACTAGCCCGAGGACCAGGCTCTTCTGTAATCATCATCTGGGAATCCTGTCCATTAGGATCTCGTATACTGTATTGGGCTATTGTGCGCATCTTTCGCGTGACCCATCCTGCGAGAATCTTTCCGCGTTGCTTCTCGCCCAGACGAGACCGGTGGAAGTCACCTTTTTGCACAAACGAGACGATATCAATGACCAGCTGATGCTCGTTCAAGATTGCATTGACAATCACCGGCACCATGCTTGCAAGGAAGTTGCGTCGGAAGATTTCCACAACGACAACAACAAGCCCACCTGCTTGGAAAACAGCACTGTAGAGTGTTAGTAAATATTCACGAGGTAACAACGAACCAAATTAACTTACCAGCCTCCAGGAACAATGTTCCGGTGACAACGTTCGACAGATTGCTCAATGTCCATTGAGAAATGGTTCAGTCCGTTGACTTCAAACGTGTCACCTATGCTTCCAAGAACGAAAAGTACCTGCATATCAACAGGGGCACCGTTAGGTCCAATGGGCCGTGTCACATTGTGCAAAAATCCTAAATCGCCTGTACGAACATATCGCACATTTGGGTCTCCATCAATCGTCCTACCGTTGAAGCGCTCTGCATCCAAACGCTCTTTTGACATGTAGAAGCTATAAGCGTTCGCCTCGGACTGAACCCAGATCTCGCCATACTCGCCATTCAAGCACAGCTGGTTTGTCTCTGGGTTGACAATGGATATTTGTGTGCTCACTGGCACCATGCCCGAGTCTTGGACGAGCAAAGCGTTGGGCTCTGTGTCAGGGTCAACGGGCATGACAAGGCCGCGTCGCAGAGCATGAACATCGAGATGGAGCTCGACTGGCTCAATACACATGTATGATCGCGATGCTACCATTGGGTTCAATACATGTGAGTAGACAGTGTTGATTGCGGTTCGGTCTAAGTTAGCTGGCGCAAAGTGCACACGCACTCTTTGATCTGCATCGAGTTAGCAATCATGAAAGTCTTATCATACAAACATTCACTTACAAACATCAACGCGTGGTCTTCCATCAGTCGCAATCATGAGATTCTTCAGCTCGTGCAGAGCCATACTCTTACCAGCCCCGCGTGCGATGGCGTGGTCCAACATTTGACTCGTTGCATATGCATCCTTGATCTTGTACCGCGAAAGCGTTTGGAACAGAATATTCGGGTTTTGTGCAAAGTCTACAGGTGACACCAGGTATGTGGGTGCAGCAAGGAAGATTCCCATGAGACAAGTGTGAAGGAAACCAAGTCCTATCGTGCTTCGGACACAACCAAGAACCGGCCGTGTACTTGTCATTTGGCACGTTTCTTTTTGGACCTTGCACAGTGCCATGATTTGGCTGTGGCCCAGCTGAACTGCGATACGACGTTGATCGGGCGTCCAGTACGTCCAGACTAACACTGGGAAGCCCGCCTGAATCCATGCCGGTCGAATTGTAAGCTTGAGATCGCGGCAGCCACTCGATTGCTTTGGCGGTTTTGTTGTGCTGTATGTGTTTGGCACATTGATCTTGAGGATAGCGGCTGATTGTTTGATGTGCTGCGATACTTGCTTGATCTTCATTAGGTGGTCAACGTCAGCGTTGACAAGAATGGCTTTGACCTTGAAGTCTGCAAGGATATGTAGCAAGGCCGGCGCATCCTCATTCAACCGGTTCTGATCAATTGGCGCCATTGGTATGCAAACAGCTCCAAGCACAAAACATGCATGAACGGCATAAACAAATTCTTCTGAATGCGTGTACATCAGAAGGAGATGGTCGCCGGCCTGGACCTTGACTTTGTTCTTGAGGTACATTGCTACGCCCGCAACCTTTTGGTCGAACTTCTTCCAATTGACGCCCTTGCCCTCTTTTCCTCGACCGTCGACTGTGCAGTAGGCAAGTTCCTCGGCCTGCCGAGATACACGCCATTGCATCAGGTCGTGAATATTCGAGAACTGATTGAGCGGAGTCGATGTTCTGTCGTCGATGACGACTTCGCGATGATCGACACCTGAGTATTGCTTGTCTTGGAGCATCAAGAATTGTTGACGTGCCATTGATGCCTCGAATGACCACATGCCGCCAGCGGGGTCGTCACCGAGTGCAATATTCTGCACTGATCGCTCAACGCCAAACTTTACGTGCACGCAAGGCAGAGAACCATTGTCAAACTCTCTTCTACAAAGCATATTGCCAATCTCTCGCCGTCCGTTCTTGATGACTCGTGGAAGTGTATTAGGTGCTGTAATCATCACGCAGTATACTCGTAAATGATGTTCTTGGTAGAGTACCTCCATACACCTCTCAGATAGTGAATCCAAAAAGGGTATATCCAATTGTTGTGGTGGTCCACCTGGATTCGTGGGCGCAGTCGATGCGGCCTGCGTCTCAATGAGAATGATTGGCAGGTATTCACCATTCACATAGGAGTCAAACGATGAGCTATGACACGTTAGACAGTCATTGCGTTTTGGGCAGCTCACTTACCAGTCGTAAATCTTTGGTACGGCTTTCATGATGCTTGTGACCAGGTGCTGTACAAAAAAGTATCGATGCTCGGCTTCAAGCTGACCATTTTCCACCCATTCAACACGCTGTCTGATGCGATCTTCGTACAATCCGAGGACGAATATTTTTCCCTCTACAATAAAGCCGAGGAGTCCAGTGCGCAGAAACTCGAGTTCAAGCAACTGTGGCGTAGGGCTACCCTCAACAAAACGGTATGGCCGGGCATGGAAAATGGTCTCTGTATGCTTCTGCAGCTGCCAGAAGCCACCAGATAGTGAAGGTGAATCTACCCAGATCTCGCCTATCGAGTATGGTGAACACAGAAGACTTGTCTCAGGGTCTACAATGGCTAGTGTCGCATCCGGTATGGGATATCCAAAGGCACCGACTCGCATGGTGCCGGGCTCGTTTGCACGCTTGCTTGCTTCTTCTCCAATAGCCAGAACAATGACTTCGTTCATCTTCAGAGCTTCCTTGTCCAGCAAGATTTCTGTAAGCTCTGTCGGGCCCTTCTTCTTCTTCTCCTTTTTGTTCTTTGTGGTGCCACCACCGATGAGACTGGAGTAGCCATTTGCCGCTGCATACTTATCCTCTGTGTCATCTTCGTCATCAGCTGAATCTTCTACTGCTATACTTAATGGGCACCCCATGCGCTCCTCTCCACCTAGCCAGTCGCGTACAGATATTATCATTCCACCATGTTCTGGCAAACAGAGCATTGGCGCAATCAGTTCCCGTGCTCTGGGGTTTCGCAATGGTCTGAAATATCGGTCTCCGAGAATCTCGTGAAATTCACAGTCGACGGTAAGCGTGTCAATCAGACAGATCTTCACGGAGGCAAAATTGGGTTCTGTGTTTTTCTTGAAGTTTCTTGTAGCCATTGGATCTTGTTGGTAGTTGTATGCGGCGCGCTTGAGTCCTGGGTAATCCGCTAGCAGTATATTGGATTTATATTTGGTGATGAGATGTGCATATAGACCTGGGGTTTCCATGGTCGCGGTCTCGAGCCATACGGTAGTGTGGCCGCCATAGACTGCAAACAAGACACTGAGAATGAGACCAGCGCTTTCGCGCGGGTCGAGGTATGTGAGGATCACTTCTGTGGGGTTTCTGGACGGTGCTGGAGCAACGAACTTTCCCTCTGCATCCCGTAGGCTAGTGCTGAATGTGTCTTGGCTCTGAGTGTTGGTGGGTATCGTGCTGATCATGGCACTGATGCAGGCCATTTGGTGCATAATAGTCCTGTGACTAAGCACCACACCGCGAAGGTCACCAGTAGGTGCACGCGAGAACTCAATGTAGGCAACCTCTGGTACTTGCAAAGCTGGAGTATCGTCATGTTTCTTGGGGTGGTGGCTGCCAAACTCGTTCGTCTTCCACCACTCTACCCCACTCGGCCATTTTAGACGGTTCTGACTAATGTCACGATGAAAGGCCTTGAGATTGTTGTCTGTGGTCAGTGCGAGATGAGCTTGAGTCGTCGTTAGGAGAAGAATGAGTTTCTGATAGTCGTCGACGCTATTGATGGGTACCGCTACAACGCCCGCAATGAAGCAGCCCATCAACGCCACGACAAAATCAATGATTTCTGTATCCCTGTACACTAATGCCACACGGTCGCCTCGATAAAGGTTGCTCTTATCCCGAATCACTTTGGCCACCTTTTCCGCGCGACTAGCCACCTTTTCCCAGGTGATGGACGCCGTCTCTTTGCCTTTTGCGTCAAGAACCCAGAAGGCAGTCGTCCTTGGCTGTGTGCGACTGCGGTGGCGCAGGACAGCGCCAATGTTATCAAATTTTGACATTTTGACATTGGGGTTGTGAGGGTCGTAGACGTCAAAGGGCAGATCGCGGGGCTCTAGCGGCATCATGGTTTCGGCAGCGCCCAAGGGGAGATCGTTGGGGTTCATCATGGGAGGTGGGATTGCGGCAGTAGGAGAAAAGGCATCTCCCGACGAATAGCGGTTGGGCCCCCCATACGAGTCGCGATGGTCTTGCATCTGCTGGCCTGTGAAGTCAGAAAAATAGCCTTGGTTTACCTCGAGCATAGTGCTCCTTCGACTGGCTTCTCCCGGAGAGCCAAATTGGCCATCAAAGCTTTGCTGATGGTCTGGATTGAAGGCGTAGTTGCCCATCATGGTGGGCTCGCGCGAGTGGTTGTATTCAGGCGTTTGAGGCCGTGGAATGAATGTCTCGCTTCCTTGCGACAGCTGTGAGGAATTGCGCTGGAGCGAATTTGTGCGCAGGCCCAGCTGCTTCTCTTGAAAACGGCCGACTTGGCTGGGCGGGTAGGCCATGTACTGCGAGCCCCCGGAGGCGGCGGCGGAGGCGTTCGCATATGGCATGGTTGCGCCCAATTGGCCCTGTGCCGAAGCATCATGGTATGAGTCTGGGCGGGGGAGCTGGATATGCGGGGGTTGTGGTCGCGGTGATGGGCTCGGACCGGACGGAGTAGCAAAGGATGCGGTGCGGGAGCGAGAGCCCTCGCTGGCTGGCTGGGGTGGGTTCTGCTGGTTCAGGTCGGCCTGCAACTGGGCAGCGAAGTCGGGTCCCAGGTACTGCGACAGCAGCACGGTGCGGCGTTTTTCATAGCTATGCGACTGATTAGCGCACGCGGAGAGGCGGATGGCGGTGATGATGCAGCAGCAGTACGGACCCTTTTTGTGTAATATCGCCCTCCTCGAGCTCGTGGTCCAGCTCCTGCAGTTTGGCCTGCAGCTCGGGGTTGGTTGCAGCCATGGTGTTGTGGGCGGCGGAGGTGTGGCACGAGGATGGAGGCAAGGCAGGTGAAGCGGGATGGGATGGTGGTGTACAGATAGACTATGCAGCGGCGGGCCGCAACATTCCACAGGCACAAGCACAGGCGCAGGCACAGGGAAGATGCAGATACAAGGCGCCTAGAGGGAGGAGTGCGAACAATGCACCAGGCATGCAGAGGCGGGCACGCGTCGAGGACGGACAGCAGGTGACAGATGAAACATTGACTATGTAGTAGGCATGTAAGGGTGGGTAGTCTTCTGACACCAAGTCAGGTACGCATCTGCGCAGGGCCCGGCAAGCCCAGTATGACGTTTTTACCCCAGAGCCGGCTTGCTCCTCGGCTTGGCGTCGCCGTCTTAGTCAGCGTCCATAAGTCAGCAATTAGTCACGTGGTCGGCGCGACAAGTGCCCACATGGCCGACGGTCATTGTGCCTCGGCTCATGCGCGTCTGCGCTGCCTTGACGTGCGCCGGAAATGACGACGCCCAAAGTCCCATACAGCCGCTGTTTGCATCTGATGTTGCTACACTGACCTCCTTTTTCGCAGAATACAGAACAATTCACAAACAGAAAAACTACCAGCCACCGCCATGGCCACACTCATCCGCCCCCCGCCCGCCGACCACTCCCAGTCGGCCATTGAGAACGTCCTTGAACTGACGCAACTGGCCGACATTGATCCTAACATCTTCACAAACACTCGCCCCCTATGGCATCCTCCCGGTGCGCGCGGTATCTTCGGCGGCGCTGCCATTGCCCAGACACTCAGCGCCGCCCAGAAGACAGTTGACCCCGACTTCACTGTGCATTCGATGCACTGCTACTTCATCCTTGCCGGCAACTCTGAGATACCTGTCATATATCATGTAGAAAGGGTGCGCTCAGGAAAGTCGTTCGCAACCAGGACAGTGCAGGCCCGGCAAAGGGGCAAGGTCATCTTCACCACAACCATGAGTTTTGTTCGCCAGAACAGTGGAGGCGCCCAAAAGGTTGAGCACATCTACCCCATGCCGGACGTCCCGGCGCCCAAAGAAGGGAGTGACGACTTGAGGACGCCCAACGATGGCCAAAGTCCCTTTCAGACCCAACTGTTGCCCATTGAAAATGGTGAGTGAATTCGCACACCATCCTCTAGCCTGCCCTGGCTCATGTCTAGCAGACGACTCCGACAAGCCCCACACCAAGAGATGCCGACAATGGATAAAGGCTCGCGGTAAAATCTCTCCCACTGGCGGTCACGAAGCCCATCTCTCCGCTATCGCATACATGTCCGATAGCTACTTCATCGGCACCGTCGCACGTGCGCACAAGCTCCTGCGCTACTCGAACCAGCGGAAGAGCAGGGCCAGGTCAAGCATCGACGAGGACGTACTCAAGAAGCTGCTCGAGATGGATGACGCCGAGCTCCAGCGCCAAAGCTTTGTCAATGAATCAGATAAGCAGCGCATACGTGAACTGAGGAAAGCAGAGGACCTGGCAAAGAGCGGAGAGGCAAAGCCCGAGATTGGCATGATGGTCAGTCTAGACCACACTATCTACTTCCACAATCCGCGCAGCTTCCGCGCGGACGAATGGATCTTCACCGAGATGGAGACCCCTTGGGCTGGTGATGGCCGTGGCCTCGTTTCCCAGAGAATGTATACCAAGGATGGCACGCTCATCGCCAGCTGCGTCCAAGAGGTAAGCGGCTTACTCCTGTCTCTCATAGTGGACTGTGCTAACATGAACAGGGCGTTATACGATTGAAGCAGAACGAAAGTAAGCTATAGCCGTGACCGTGTGTAGATTGCTCGTATGCCCGTGTATTCTGATTCGATTGACTTTTATGCCGCCGCCTTTCACTTGACCTCGTCGGATTAGACTCCGCCATTTGTATTGTTTTAGTAGCTATAGATTTGGAAGTTTGAAACACACGTACCTCAGGTATACATTCTTAAATACAAAGTTTCTCAATACAAATAGCAACCCGCAAGTATATAGTATACGACTTGGCACAGCAAGTGCATGCAGATGATGCACGCTACATGCAGCCCTAGAAGCCTGCACCTGTGCCGTTCGTCCTTCCCACGTTACAGGCCAGGGTCCAGTTAGCGCAATGCCGGTCTCGGGCTAGCATGTCCCTCACACCTGGATTATCCGAAGCTACTGTCAGCGGTGTACCTCCAACATCCAAGTCGCTCCTAGTTCCTTTGTTGATATCTAGCTTGACCACCATTGCCAGCTGTCTACCATGTTGCTGTCATCTGCGCCGCACCCTAACCAAAACTCCTAACACTCAGCCCGCCAAGAAACCACCCAAGACATGAATGTCAAGCAAGCGGCATGTCTGAACTGCCGCAAAAGCAAGATCAAATGCCGGCGCGAAGAAGGCGCTTCTGTATGTGAAAGATGCTCGAGCGTAGGCGTCGAGTGCATTATACCCGAGTTCCACATGTACGTCATGTCCCCATACAAATCCATTGCGAAACAGGCGCTGAGTTAATGTGCCGGTAATTAGTGGCAGGCAAAAGGGCGTGAAAAAGTGAGTATCATTTCTTAGTATGACTGCCTAAGCTTACAATTTTCAGCAAGCGATCAGGGTTGGAGAAGGCAATCTACCAAGTAGAAGAAGCAATCAAGAAGAGAAAATCAGACGTAGCTGTCAATCAAAGCACGTTACAGCATTTGCAACAGCTTTTGAACGAAGCACAAGGAGATGATGGCCCTAGTCAAGATGCAAAATCACCGCCAGTACTAGCAGAATCCTCCTACGTGCCAGCAAAAGAAGTGGCCTGTACTTCAAGCGATGATCAGCTTGCCGTTGAAGATGTCGAGAATCCGCTTCAGCTTCTAGCCCGCGCGTCAGACTTGAGAATTGCCACCACGCCACAGTCGTACAATACAAGTGTCGCCAGCCCAGAAGGCAGGTTTACTGGTAGCGAGCAAAGTTCGTTTCTTGATGTTCATCACTTCTTCCTACCAATGAAGGCGCATTTGGACCAAGGATCAGGATTAGATCCAATTGACGTAGGATTGGTTACCAAAGATGAAGCGGAGATGCTCCTCCAATAGTACGTACTGCCAAAATAATACCATCAAGTAGCTGACAAGACGTAGTTTCCACAAAAGACTAGCCCACACGCGCTGGGGTCTAGACCCAGTGGTGCATACTCTACCTTTTATCCGAAACCGCTCAGCCTTTCTATTCACGACATTGCTGGCTGTGACCGCCGTCTTTCTACCAGAAACGTCTGCTTTGGCCAAAAGACTACTTCTTCATCGCAGATTTCTAGCTGAACAGGTCATTGTTCGAAAGTACAGATCTGTTGAAATCGTCTTGGCATTCATGGTGAGCATACCGTGGATGCCCCCAGGGTCGCATGCAAGCGACGACGACACAAGTCTCTATCTAGCTACGGCATTGTCAATTTCTTTGGATCTTATGCTAGACAAAGTCATCACTCCGTCTACATCCTTTGGTCCGGAGCTCACGAGGCAGATGCCCAAAGCAGAGTGTCTTGACGCAAGAAAAGCACTAGCGATGGATGGTTTCGAGGACGTTGACCCGACTTCCGAATGGGGCCAGCGACTGCTTCGTCGGAGAGAAAGGGTCTGGATTGCGCTGTTTGTGCTAGAGCGTGGTGTGTGTCTTGCTCGTGGCCGCAGCTACTGTGTACCCAAGACCTGCTTGATTCAATACAGCGATAAATGGCATAACCACCAGCACTCAGATGCCCAGGACGGTCCGCTGGTATCCATGGCAGTATTGCGTCGTGATCTGGACAACCTTTTTGCCGAAGTCCGCACGCGATGCGACAACTATGGCTCGGCCGAAGTAGGTTCCCAGGTTGCGCAGGAAATCGACAAGTCCATTGAGGGCTTCTTCGACAATTGGTCTCGGGCATGGCCTTCGGTTATAAGTGACCCAGAGAGCAAGAGCCTACCCCCTTATGTTGAGATACTCGTCACGCACACACGACTATCGACCTACTCAATGCTTCTAAACCATCCGAGCGCGCCACCAGAAGTCAAGCGCTCGTTTCGAAAGTCTGCGTTATCCTCGGCGCTCAATGTCATGCGCGCAGCAATTCAAGGCGAGGGGCGTCTCAAGTCGATGCCTAACAACACCGTCACGATGATTTGCTTTGCAGCCAGCATAGCGCTCGCTCTAAGCGCACCGGTGCCTGAGGGGAGTGGCAACAAGAAGAGCCTTGCCCCAAGCGTGCGGCACCTGATAGAGGATACGGCAACCGTCCTGGAGCGTATTGGCAGTACACCTATCCACCGGAACGGCGCATCAGTCGTCTATGGTAGGTTTTTGCGAGTATTGGTTAAGCAGGCGCCTGACATTGAAATGCCACCACCCGTACCTCCGCAAGAGCCTGCACCAACCTTAATGGCTATACCGGATCTCCTCTCGCCCTCGAACATGATGCATAATGAGATTCCAACCCCTAATAATCAGCCCTTGGGGCATGATCCAGTAGACGGTTACTGGCCCGACAGGTTAGATTTCTCCGCAATGTCCTATAACGAGGTCAATGAGACTGTTACAAACTCGGATCTATTCTCTACAGCATTGCTCGATCTGCCGTGGAATGACTCCAACCCGCTATGGACAGACTGGATGAATCTTCCTGACTTCAACTTTCCTTGATGGCACGGCAAAGACGCGTATCGACGCAGAGAGTGGATGAACCTCGGGCTTCGCCAGGAGGACGGCAGCGCGCCTAAACCTCATCCGACCGAGGCGGCGGACAAAGCCCCGCTCCAAGCTCCAAGGTCGCTCGCCGTTCGGCACTTGAACTGGCACCGACGGATCCAAAGATGCATGACGTTAGAGTTGCAGTGCCATTGTCGCACGCGCTCCAGGACCCATGTTCGGAGCTCGACTGCGAAATCGTCGCCCGCTTGGATGCGTCGGCATTTGTTGAAACTCCTTCTCAAATGATTTAACTAGGCTGCTCACGCTGTTAGCACCTCTGTAATTTACTTCACAATGGATACCCTGCCTGCTTCCTGCAGGCTGCTCACAGCCCTTCCCTCGCGGCTATGCGTCCGGCGATCTATTTCTCCAAAATTGCGAGCTGCACGAACCCTGCCACCACGATGGCGGCTTACAGGTCAATTGCGCTGTATCAGTGAGCGCGCACCGACAATTGACCGTTCGAAATCAAAGCTTTTCAAAGATGCAGACGAAGCAGTTGCGGATGTACAGCCTGGGTCCACCGTTCTGAGTGCAGGATTCGGGTTGTGTGGTGTCGCAGACACCCTGATCGCAGCGATGAAGAAGCGTGGGCCAGAGTCATTACATTCGTTAACAGCTGTCTCAAACAATGCTGGCATTGAAGATGTAGGAGGACTGGCACATCTTACAAAGAACGGACAAGTCAAGAAGCTCATTATCAGCTTTCTCGGCAACAACAAGGCGCTTGAGAAGCAGTATCTGAGCGGTGGTATTGAGATTGAGCTTTGTCCGCAAGGTACGCTTGCAGAGAGGATACGAGCTGGCGGTGCAGGCATCCCAGCCTTTTACACACCCACGGCGGTAAATACATTGTTGCAAGATGGCCAGATTCCGGCCAAGTTTGACAAGGAGGGTAAGGCTGTAGGCTACGGACAGAAGCGTGAGGTTAGAGAATTCAATGGCAAAAAGTTCCTCATGGAGACTGCATTGACAGGCGATGTCGCTATTATCCGCGCGCACAAGGCCGATGAAGCTGGTAACTGTGTTTTCAGGTAGGAATTGAGGGACCCCAATGCCTTGAGACTTACTGACGACATGGGCAGATACACCACCAAGGCTTTTGGACCCATCATGGCCAAGGCCGCACGCCTCACAATCGTCGAAGCCGAGGAAATCGTCCCTATAGGCACCTTTGATGCCAACGATGTCGATCTCCCTGGCATCTTCGTCGATCGCATCGTACCAGCCACCGCCCCCAAAAACATTGAGATCAAGAAGCTTCGAAAACCCGCTGCCTCGAAAAGCGCCTCATCCAAAGACGAAGCCGCCGAACGACGCGATCGGATTGCTCGTCGCGCAGCAAAAGAGCTTAAGCAGGGATACTATGTCAATCTGGGCGTTGGTATCCCCACAGCCGCAGCATCCTTCGTACCAGATGGCGTCAAGGTGTGGCTGCAATCCGAAAATGGCATTCTAGGCATGGGACCCTACCCTGCAGAAGAAGAGGTAGATGCAGACATTGTCAACGCCGGCAAAGAAACCGTAACCCTCCTCCCTGGCGCCTCAACCTTCGACAGCGCAGAATCCTTTGGCATGATCCGCGGCGGCCATGTCGACGTGTCTATCCTTGGTGCCCTCCAAGTCAGTGCCTCTGGCGACCTAGCCAACTATATGGTGCCGGGTAAAGTTTTTAAGGGCATGGGCGGCGCCATGGATCTCGTCAGCAATCCCGACGCTACAAAAGTCGTCGTCACGACTGAACACGTTGCCAAAGATGGATCCAGCAAGATCGTTCAGGAATGCAAATTACCGCTTACGGGAGCAAATTGCGTGAGCACTATTATTACCGATCTGTGTGTTTTTGAGGTGAATAGGAAGAGGGGGACTTTGACGCTGACGGAGACGGCGCCCGGGGTTAGTGTTGAGGATGTCAAGGCGAAGACGGATGCGAAGTTTGAAGTCGCGAGTGATCTCAAGACGATGGAGTAATAGTAGTGGCAGTTTCATTTCTTTATGTTGCAGTAGTAGCTCTTTGTACATAGTGCGGTGTAGTGGGTATACCTCCGTCCCCACCTTTTTCTTATCTAGCAAGGTGCTTCAAGGTCGGTCTAGAAGCGCAACGCATGCATATCCAGCGCGTAGTCACCTTATCAACCCTCCCCCTCCGAAATGGAAAACGTCGCAAAAAAGACACTTTCTGCAACTATGTAAACGCTGAAACAGATCTATTTGCTCAGCTTGATAAGAACTTCTGGTTCACACACGTAGCGCCAAACCCACAAAAAACTCAAGTTGACGCGGCTCAACCAACAAAAGCCAAGCATACACAAGCACCACGCAAGCGAAAATGCTTCGCCCTCTTGGTCCGCCGCGCTTGTCACGAAAAAGCTTGGTACACACCCATATATCTTCCCCCTCCCAAAAAAAAGGTCACCCATCCCTCATGTGCAACCCACCCCTATATTATTTGCTTACCGCACACACACGTAAATAGTACTAAAGATAAAGTCACAAACCCACAACCCCATACGAGTCTTCGCTCGCATCTCGGCCGCAAAAAAAGGACCGTCCGTTTTTTTGGCGGCACCGGACTTTGTCGCTTGCTGCTTCTTTATACCGCTAACGCACAAGTCTGGTCAGCATGTGGGCTACTATTGTGATCCGAGCGGTGTGCCGCGCCAATCAAGTGCTCGGGGGATCCGGGGTGGTGTCGTGCAACGGTGCTGTGTGCTGAGTTGCGGTGGAGAATGCCCCATGGGGTTGGCATGGGAGCTTAGGGTAGCGCTGCAAGGATAGTTGAGAGGGAGGGGAGGGGGGTTTGGAGAGGTTAAAAGGACCGTGAGTGCTCCGGTGCTTGGATATTACGCTGCTGCGCTGCTACTTGCTACGTTGCTCGTCTATTTTTTTTCGTTGCAGCGTATCCAGTCTTTCCACCTGATTTCTTTGGCTCTTTTTTTTCGAGGCCTTTGAGATAGCTCAGAGAGTTGAAGGATTGGATAAGAGGCTGTGCGAAACAGAGGGCGAGTACGATGAGCTTGGATAAAATGCAGGATGAGAGGGTCGAGCGGAGTGGGAGTGAGGGGTTTGAAGAGGGGCTTTTGGAGGATGCGAAGGCGACGAGTGGGTTGTTGTTCAAGATGGATTCTCGGTATGTATCTCCCTCCATTTTGCTCTCGATATCCTTATCTCGAGGCTTCTTATGGACCATGTACGTGGCTGACTCGTTGTTTTGTTGTTTTCTAGCATCCTGCCGGTTCTCGCGCTGCTGTTCCTGTGCTCGTTCATTGATCGCACAAACGTTGGGAATGCGAAGATTCTTGGTTTAGAGAAGGATCTCCATCTTACGGACCATCAGTATGCTATTGGGCTTTGTGTCTTTTACGCTACATATATTGCGAGGTAAGCTTCCTATATGGCAGATATGGTCCAAAATACTGATTTTGGGCAGCGAACTCCCGTCCAATTTGGTGCTGAAAAAGGTATCGCCAAAGATATGGTTGCCCTTTCTGACAGCTATCTGGGGTATCTTGACCATGTGCTTGGGTTTTGTGACGAATTTCGCGTCTTTTGTTACTGTTCGCGCGCTGCTTGGTGTTGCTGAAGGAGGACTACTGCCTGGAATGGTAAGATTTTGGCGACGTGATAAATCATCCTTCGCTAACGCCTTGCTAGGTGCTATATCTCTCTCACTTTTATCGCCGCCAGGAGCTCGCTCTACGCATAGGCATCTTCTACACTGCAGCCTCCCTCTCCGGTGCTTTTGGCGGACTCCTCGCTCGAGGCCTCAATGCCATTGGCCCAGCAGGTGGACTCGAAGGCTGGAGATGGATTCTGATAATCGAGGGCTTGATAACCGTTGCCGTCGGCGCATGCTCCGCTATCTTCCTTCCCAACTCCATCGAATCAGCCGGTTTCCTTACTCCCTCCGAAAGAGCTCATGCCCGCTTCCGACTAGGTGAAGCATCCGCCTCACATGAGCGCTTCGACTGGGCCGAAATCAAACGCGGCGTCTTCAACCTCCAAGTCTGGCTCACGGCCACCGCCTACTTCTCCATCCTCTCAGGCCTCTACTCTTTCGGCCTCTTCCTCCCCACAATCATCAACAACGGCTTCGCTAAGGACCCTAACAAAGCCCAGCTCTGGACCGTCATTCCTTACGCCGTCGCTTCCGTCTTCACCGTCATCGTCGCCATTCTCTCCGACCGCCTCGCTCTCCGCGGCCCAGTCATGCTGTGTACCCTCCCCATTGCAATCATCGGCTACGGAGTCATCAGCCAATCGACGAACCCGAAAGTACAATACGGAATGACGTTTTTCATGGCTACAGGCATGTTTTCCTCCGTCCCGTGTATTCTTTCTTGGAACAGCAATAATTCTGCTGGCCACTACAAGCGTGCGACTACGTCGGCGCTGCAGCTTGCGATTGCCAATGCGGGTGGTTTCGTCGCGAGCTTTACGTATCAAAAGAGCGAGAAGCCGCATTTCCATAAAAGTCATAGCATTATGCTGGGCTTGCTGTGTGCGGCTTGGGTTTTGTAAGTTCTCCTCCTTCTCTTTTTTCTAGTGTGTACAGGTGGATTTCCATCGTTTGCTGGCTGGATATGCGGCTAACATGAACGATAGGGTCGCAGCGAACGTGGCGTGGGTGTGGAAAATCAATCGCGATAAGGCGAGTGGAAAATATGCGGAATTTGAAGGACGAGGAGATGATAGGGATCCGGCGTTTAAGATGGTTATGTAGAGGTTTTTGGATCTGGTTTGGGTTATTATGAGCATGACGATATATGTGGAGTTTTGGTATAATGTGTTACGCAACGTCTTAATGTTTTTCAGCCCGATCAAGAGATGATATAAATGTTTGTTGATGTGGTAAAAAACGCGGCGCGGATGCCTGCTTCACGTGTAGTATTGATATCCTTTTTATTATCCAGCCAATACTGCGCAGGTATATCTTTTGACAAGGTTTCAGCCTCCTGTCGAGTTTCAAATACAGCGTATATTCCCACATTCTCACTATCGCTCGATAAGCTATGTCGCATTTGTAAGTTCAGCGATTTGTCGGGTCAACCAGTAGTGCTTGTCGGGCTTGCCTCTCCTACTATTTTATTGACAACGATAGTGCAAAAATGGGAGTGAGGGTACGTAGAGGGGGAGCAAGGGATGGATACTGGGGGTAAAAGGAGTACTGAATGTTGTGGTCCAGTGGAGGGTGCTGAGTCTCCTTGTGTTATTTTGATGTAGTTATCCCAAATAGTACGTTGCAAAGTCGTAATCCGGCCCGGGAAGGGGGTTACTGTGGGCATCTAGACCATCCGGATATGTGTTTGTAGTGTTGCTTTGACAATTGTGGTGCGTATTTGGTGGAAGAAGAGTGCGAAAGACGACGACACCTTTGGTTTTGTTTCTGGCACTGAGGAGGTTCGTTAAGCAGTCAATGAGATATCTAGGCAGACCTTTTTTGGAGAGCAGCGTGGTTATGTCTAAGCTAAGTTATAATACGTCTTATGTGTAGTCACTCCATTCCTGAGGAAGAAAATAGATTGGCCCATATTCGGGCTGATGTCGTTTGGCCCCCTAAGTTAACACATGCACTGAAGCGGTCATATCATATGTGTGTACGACATTCACATTTAGCCATAGCAGTAGCGTGGGGGCTAATCGAGTATACATCCGTGCTCGAGTCGACGCCATCCATCTGTCATAGCGTAGGCTTAGGAAAATCATCTTTTACGCTGAGAATTAAGCTTTACTATTTTTACTCCCGGTACGGGGCGCGTGTTCAACGTATAAAACGTGCTGATATATACGCCACATCGACTGACTATCTAGAGAATCTATGGGGCTTCCACGCGAGCCGCGGGTCGAGCACAGTGGGTATGCGCATGTGGCGAAGAACATATTTTGATGAATGCAAGGGACCACTACAGAAACAGAAATGGTCACCTTTTTGCGATACATTCGGGTTGCTAGTGTACCATCACTCGGTCCATGTTATCCGCACCCGTTGCATATACGAGGTTTCCACGAGTGGAGATAGTGACACAGCTACTGTTGCTCAATGTGAGCGTAGCACCAAACGACTTTGTACTCCTATCTACCTAAGAACCATAACCGTCTTCTCCTACTATTTCTCTCCTACTCCTCTAGAACAACACCATGCTTGCTGTAAATCCCCCGCCATGCGCAGGATCATTCAGGCTATATGGACATGGCCCTCTTGGAGACCAGACATGGGGGTTTTGTCATCAATACATACATATAGGCTTGCCAAGATACCCTGCCTTAGATCTCGGAAGCAAGATCGCTTGCTTGAGTGATTGCCGGTACGGAGGAGCCCGTACGTAGCACACAATGCAGGAACAGTGTGGGTTTTATTCACCTACAACTTGCTATTGACCCTGGGGATGTTGGAGTGGATTACTTGCAGAAGAGATGATCGCCATTTATGACGATACAACAGGGTACATGGATGTTGAGGAAACTATGTTCCTACTATGAGGATTTGCTTTGGTCTTGTCTGCTTCCGTTCCACTACTCACAAAAGAATCACCAAGTGCCGTCAATGATACTTCTGGCTCGACCGTTTCATCTGGTAGACCTGGTGACATATTGAAACCATCAGGAAATCTCTCGGTCTATTCGGGCGGCTCTTTTCCCGTGCCTTTGGTTGTACGGATAACGGCAATCGATCAGCAAACAAGCGTGTTGACGACCCTTGATCGGCCCAGCCTAATAGGCACATCCATGCGACTACATCTTAGTCCCGGAGCTTTTATCTGAATCAACGGCAACCAGGGTCGAGCGTTGGTGCAGATAAGCACGATACTCGGGCCATATACTTTGCAGTAGCGACATTAAACCGCAGCAGCCTGGGCCCTGACTGTACATTGGTGTTTCTTTTTGATTTGGCGTGAGTTGGTCGGCGATGTCGAGTCACTTTTTTCTAGTCTGATTAGAGCTGAGAACTTGACAAGATATTTTACTGATGTTCGTTTCTTCTTTGATTGTGTAGCGCTGACTGTGTAACGAAAATAGACACCTTACAGCTAACTGTTACGTCAACGGGCATGTGTCTGGATCCTACTCCGCCTTCGAAAACAACACGGTGAGCATGACGCGAGTTGGTGTCTTGCATCTGGTGGAGTGGTATGAGCCAGGGTGAGCTGAGCATGGAGCTTTGCTGTAGCCTGCGAGTAAGCAGACACACACTGCCTCTCCAATATTGTGGCGCGCTTTGCTGTCATGCCCGTATCCACCAAGGCGTTTCGGTACAGCAGTACCAGATCTTAGGAAATGCTGTTGAGCGTTGCTTTTCTGCAAAGTCGTTCTGCATGGCGCGAGTAATGCTGTGAGCAAACGCCCGTGAAGCCTCACCGGTAAAGTGGCGTCGCAAAGGGTCTTACAGCCCTGCGATTATCCACTATTACTCTAGTTTGTATGTGTCGCAAAGCCTACTCGAGTCCATGATTGTCACACTCTGTGTTTGCAAAATCTTTCCGGTCGCCTGCAGGCTGTCGGATGCCAACATCCCTCTTCAAGCCACGCTGAGAAGCACGTGGCCTCTAGACTCAGGCGCTCTAAAGTGACAAGATTTAAGCATTGCAAGCTGTACCGAAACATCGAGGCCTCAATTCAGCTGTACACTTGTACCTCGCTAAGGCAACCGGTGCATTCTGATGCATATCAATAGTCTTCGTTTGAGACGAAACGTCATGGAAACAGTGGAAACAATTCCAATCAGGCGATTACATGCGAGTGAATATGCCAGATTGGGTTTAAGACTGACAGCGATGCGCTCTCAGAGGCTAGGGTTACGAGATGGTGATGTTGTCGTCGGAACAGAGGCTCGGGACCCCTCTCAGAAGTCCGAGACGCTCGCCGGATGCGGCTTAGCGCTTATCACATTAGTACAGATCGTCGCGACTCGCTTGTCCTACTCGAGATCCTTTTACTCACTTGTTCGAGTATTAAGCTTTCCAAGCCTCGGAGACGGTTCTCAACTTCATGGAGAGCCCGGTTCCGGGCCCTGGCCCGCGTGCTATCCATAGTATACCATCCACGCCTTGCATCGACATGTCAAACTAGTCCTCTAAGACCCCGCTTCATGCATAGCCAGGGCACCATTACCCCCTGCAGCCGCTCCACAGCCTGCTGAAGTGGCTTCCCCGAATTACACAGCTCAGCCATGCCTGCAGCTCTGCCGACCGTCCAGTCTGTCGTCCCTGGTCGAGGTTTGAAGCCAGCATCGGTATGTCTAGCTGCATTCAGTCGTGTAACGCAAGTAATACCGACATTCAACACCTCCTCAACCACTTAAAATTCTCCGTTTTTCTGCTTAGGGCTGATATGCAGCTATCTCTTGTGCTCGCCTTTCTAGGCAAGCGGTCATAATCAGCATCTATACCGTTCATGTGCCGCACGCCTTCGTGATGGCGATCTTGGTATCTGCCACAAGCCGCGGCTACACTTTGATATGGAGGCATCATGTCAATTACTACTGGTGGGAACACTTCACCACTAGTCACCCGTGCCGTTTAGGGCTATTGTTCGACCCACTGATGAATCAGGGCCAGTCTGCCATGCTTTGGTTTATATTACTTGTACCACCCATTCTCTGGCAGGCCAGCCAGCCTTCGCTTTTCTTTGAACATCAGAATCTTGGTCAGCGCTGCATTCGTTGGCCCTATTTTTGAAGGATTTGGTAGCTCTCCTTTGCAATTACGTCTTCTTATTGAGCTTTCATTACTATATCATGGTCTCCTCAATTTCGAGGGTGGTTACCGCCCTTGGGCTTCTTTTACCCACTGTAACTTCATTTGTCGTACCTCATAAAAGTCTCGCCCCTAGAACACCAGAGGTTCCTTGGAAAAACACTGGTCTTTTCAGTGGACACAGCAAACGACAAGGATATGAGACTGCCTGTAATCATGGCCCAGAATCAAGAGGATGCTGGATTGACGACTTCAACATCGACACCGACATGGATGTTGAATGGCCAGATACTGGAAAGACAGTCAAGTATCATCTCACCATCACCAATACCACTGGAGCTCCAGATGGTTTTGAAAGGCCGATGTTCTTGATCAATGGCCAATACCCGGGACCAGTAAGTGTTGTGTTAAAATGCCAATACCTCTTTTCTAATGAATCATAGACTATCACCGCCGACTGGGGAGACAATCTAGAGATCACAGTTACCAATGGCCTTGAAAACAACGGCACAGGTATACATTGGCACGGTCTGAGGCAACTCGGGACAAATGAACAAGATGGCGTAAACGGTATAACTGAATGTCCAATCGCACCCGGTGACTCCAAGCTCTACAGGTTCAAAGCAACTCAATATGGCACTACAGTAAGTATCACATACTGTGTGTGACATATTTTCGGAAGACGGCTAACCGCCACAGTGGTATCACTCGCACTACTCCGTGCAGTATGGTGACGGCATCGTAGGTCCTTTGATCATCAAAGGACCCTCAACAGCGAACTACGATATTGATCTTGGCGCTTTCCCAATGACTGACTGGTTTCACGCAACCACTTTCACCGTCAACGCTGCAGCCGTTCATGCAAGGGGCCCTCCAACTGCTGACAATGTCCTTGTCAATGGCTCCATGACCTCATCTTTTGGCGGCGAGTATGCCGAGACGATCCTAACTCCGGGAAAATCTCACTTGCTGCGTTTGATGAACGTTGGTATCAACAACTACCTTCATGTCGGCCTCGATGGGCATCAGTTCCAGGTCATTTCAGCTGATTTTACGCCCATCGAACCCTTCTACACGGACAGCTTGGTCCTTGCAGTCGGTAAGTTGAACCGAAGTTGTGTCCACATGCAAGCCCGTTTTCTCTTAGCACAACATCGTGCTGTGTGACGACAGCCCGGCTACGAAAATGTAGTCGGAGTAGCCATTGTTGATGAATTTTTCACTAACAACGTCA